TTCCTATGATGATGTAACATCATCAAAAAATAACATCTGCCTATCTCAGGTCCTTGGGAAGGACTCAGTAGTGGATAAATCTGCCAAATACAATCTAAACATCTGGCTGACTGTGACAAACCATAATATTTTTTTAAAAAAGTGGAAAGCTACTGGGATTATTAATACAAATGAATATTGATATATTATTGATAATTTAATATCAATGATATCAACATCAATGAATAGTAAATTTTTAGGGGGCTTACAACAAATTAAAAACAAAATAAGAATAAAATTCATTAAGGATGGTAAGGAAGAGAGCAAGATGTACACAGGGTGGGATCTTATATCAGTCCATTAGCCCAATTCTCATTGGGGCTCCAGGCCAATTGGCAGAGCCTAGTTTTCAAGCTCTGTATAGGTGATGCTGATAGGTCAGCTTCAATGTTGCACATTTTGTCAGTCTTTTTGCCTATCAAAAGATTTGTGCATATGTCAAAAAATTCAGAGTATCAATCAGGTTATTTTGGAGCACCCTTTTTGCATAGTCCAGAGGTAACCATGTAACTATAAAAAAATTTCCCATGATATTTGAGAAAGGATAACTTCTTTTTCCAGAACTCCTTTTATACTCCTTGGTACCAGGGTATAGAAAAATCCTGGCGTAGTGGCTCAGCGGTTAAGATGCTGGGCTTGTCAGCTGGAAAGTTGGCAGCCCAGGTTTGAGACTTGAGCTCCATGCAATGGGGTGAGCTCCTGTCCTTGCTCCAGCTCCTGCCAACCTAGCAGCTCAGAAGCATACTAATGTGCGTAGAGAAATAGGTACCACTTTGGTGGGAAGGTCACAGTGCTCTATGACATCATGCTGACCACATGACTACGGAAATGTCTTCAGACAATTCTGGCTTAATGGCCTTGAAACAGAGATGAGCACCACCCCTATAGTCAGCAACGACTAGCGGAGTAAAATCCACAGGGACTCCTTTACATTTTTATCAGGGTATCGGCCAGCAGCTTGGCAGGTGAATAACATAATCCCCTTAAATTAGTAGAAAAACTAAATCAATTCCAGTGTCTAATGCAGGCATGTCAAACTCATGACATCGCATGACGTTGCGTGACGTATCATGACTTGGGCACGGTTTCGACGTGACGCACACGGCCCGCGGGCCGGCAGTTTGACATGCCTGATCTAATGGAAATATATTTTTAAAAATCAAGTATTAAGGTTTTATGCTGGCAAGGTGGGAGGCAACAGTTCCTAAGGAAGAGACGGTCATGTTATAAATGTATCTCAAATATCTAAGACCATCAAGCAACCTATCAAATATTCATTACTTTGAAAAGGTGGGTCAGGAAGCTAGAATGTAAACATTTGAGAATCTGCATCAATCGGGGACATTTTGGAGCCGTAATGGGTGTTCAACTGCTGTATATAAGGCTTCATTCTTGTCTTCAGTAACGATTCTAGTTTAGATGAATCATATCATTGAGTCTGCCAAGGCTAGCTGAGAAGTTACACTACAAGGTAAGTGTCTGGAGACTAGTGAGTTACTACGAAGCCTGAGTATGAAGCCTGACTCAAGCAAAATAAAGCTTAGGAATGGTTGGTTTCTGGTAAAGAGAAACCAACAGAATTAGCTATTTGTCTGGAGTCTACACAGGAACTTGAGAGCCACAATCTGGATACCTTATCAGCTGTTCAAAATCAGTAGTCAGACACTGCAAAGGAATTGGAATTAGGATGTTTGAGGTGTCTCTTCAGTTTGTTTATAGCATTGGGCTAAATAAATAAATCTGGAATTATCACCTATGCAATATACTTGTGCAGGTTCTAGCAAGGGGTGGGAGGAGAGGTGAGAACTGACTTCATCTCATACAAACACAGAAATATCGTAAGGAAAGTATTAATTCAACTCCATTAAAAAATTAACATCCTGGGTCACAAATGTACACATAGTAGAAAAGCCCATATTCTTAAAAAAATTCAAAAAAGACTATTTATGCCACTTTAGAATTAACACTTACCCCAGTGCTAATTTTCTCTCACATACACAAACACACAGCTGTGAAAACACGTGTGTAACGTCTATTATACAAGGAATAATCTGAGTCATTTTCCATTTGTGAAGGCAGTTTTGAAGAGTTCTTTCATAGCAAATCTAATGGTAAAATATACTGTATTTCCCTTCCCCCAGACATTTTATAGTTCCAGAAGATTAGATCTTTCTTCAAAAAGAAAAAGAAAACTATTAATCTATGAACATCCAACCTGTTCTCCCTCTTGAGTGTGTAGCTACCAAGGTAATTTAAAGACAGGCAAAGGAAATGGGAAATATATTTTAATTGCTTTTCATTCAAGGTGAAAGTAGTTTCACTGTTTTGCAAATGTTTAGTTTATGCATTGCAGTTAGCTAATCTTCAGAAACCAACTGTATTTTTCATTTTTTTTAAAAAAAAAGTATAGTGGTTTTATTAAAAATTACAACTAATATAAATTTGAAAAGAAAAAGAAAATAGAAAATTAATAGAAAATTAAAAAATAACAATATAGTAAAGGAATATATATATTTCTTTATATATACAGTATGTATATGTATTATATGTAGATGCATGTGTGTGTGTGTGTGTGTGTGTGTGTGTGTTACAACTGACCCTGCAGCATTGTTGGTGGACATATGCATATGCTGAATTAAATCATGAATACAGTAAGGCATTAATTCTAAACACACTTAATAAAGGACAACAGAGCTCTATCTCATACATGACATATGATTATAGATCCTGATGTATACACATACAATAAATGTGTATGTGTGTGTGTGTGTGTTTGTGTGTGTGTGTTTATAAGACAGAGAGAGAAAGAGACCTATCTGACTTCAGTCTCATTATTAGTATAGGTAGTCCTTGATTTACAAGAGTTCATTTAATGAAGATTCAAAGTCACAAGGGCCTCAGCAAAAATAATATTTACAACGTGTCCTCAAACATAACAGCCATTGTACTACCCCCTCGGTCACCTGATTATGCAGTTCACATTTACAACTGGTTGCAGCATCCTGCAGTCATATGATCATGATTTTATGAGTTTTCCAGCCAGGTTCCAACAAGCAACATCAACTAGGGGAGTCAGATTCACTTAAAATCTGCATGGTTCACTCAGTGACCACAATAAAAATAAAATGGGATCCAGTCACATGATTACTCACTTAACAACTACATGACTTAGTGACTGAAATGCCAGTCCCAATGATGGTCATAAGCCAAGGACCTGTACTCTATTATCCTAACATTGTGACATTTTATATGTTCATGTGGCAAAAATGCACACCATAAATGCTATTCTCCAGGTGCTATTTCTCTTAGTGTTCCCATTTTGCCCTAGGTTACTTATATAGCAGCCTTTTAATTATTGTGTTTTATGTGCACTGCTTATTTTTAAATGTTCCAATATAATGGTCCTATAGGTTGTTACAGGTGGGAGTGGATTTAAAGTTGTATAAGTGGTTATGGACTCACTGGAGAAGAGCCTGATGCTGGGAAAGATTGAGGGCAATAGAAGAAGGGGACGACAGAGAATGAGGTGGCTGGATGGAGTCACTGAAGCAGTAGGCGTGAACTTAAATGGACTCCAGAAGATGGTAGAGGACAGGAAGGCCTGGAGGAACTTTGTCCATGGGGTCGTGATGGGTCAGACATGACTTCGCAACTAACAACAACAACAACAAAGTGGTCATGCAACATTTTTCTTGCAATCTGCTTCAGTATTGGATTAGAGAACAGTAATTAGAGAAAGGAGGATGTTTTCCCAAATCCCCCCCAGCCATTTTTCAATGCATATCTATGCTGCTCTGAACAATCATATAATATTTATTCTGAAATGATCATTATTTCATATCTGCAGATGTGTGCAGCTATGCATGCAATTTCCAGGCTTAAAACAAATGCCAACTTGAAACAGCAGCATGATTTCCGGTTTCTTCTGTAATTTCAGTTTCTATACTATGGTTTATGGCATATGCTCTCAGTAGAAACTCTAATAATAAAAAACAGGTGATCCTTCCAACTTAGCTTAGTTTTTCCAGTTTCAACACTGTATATTGATTGGAGCTTGACGTACAATTTCATTATAGCAAAGTACTGTACATTCAATAACTTGAATCCACAGAGGAACAAATATGTATATACATCTCTCTCTCTCTCTCTCTCTCTCTCTCTCTCTCTCTCTCTCTCTCTCTCTCTCTCTCTCTCTCTCTCTCTCTCTCTCTCTCCCTCCCTCCCTCCCTCCCTCCCTTCTTGGATGGATGGTTGGTTGGCTGGCTGGCTGGCTGGCTGGCTGGCTGGCTGGCTGGCTGGCTGGCTGGATGGATGGATGGATGGATGGATGGATGGATGGATGGATGGATGGATGGATGGATGGATGAATGGATGAATGGATGGATGAATTCACAGACAGACAAACAGACAGTAATTGAACCCCCAAAACATAACATGGCAGTACTTCATAAACAAAGAGGTTCCTGTCTTCCGGGATCTTGTAATCAAATAATTCTGTGGTAGATTACTCAGTTCCAGTAGTGCCCTCTTATTTATTTTCAATGGTGAAAAAATAAAAACCAATACAAAACCAAAAGTGTGCTTACTGGAATGCCTGGAAAAAAACCTAATTTGTATTTCTTTCAGAAATTGAAGCAAGGAGTGAGTACATAATCAGTAAAAGAGAGAGATTGGAATCACTTCATCTGAATGTGGAAAGCCATGAAAGCCAACAGCTTCCTAAAGGAACAACCTAAATTCAGCATTCCGCAGTGGATTGTAACGCAGTATGAGATGATTGGTGTATTCTCTACTGAAGACTTTTAAATCAGGTGTATCTTCCTAGGCTAGTCATTACAAGGAAAAGCTTGAGAGCTCATGTAGGGATGAAGAGGAAAATGCAAACCCTTTTCAGAACCTAACTTTGAACCTTTAATCCTTGATAAATATCCAGTGCTAAATCCACTTTTTTCTCCATCCAGAGCTATCACGCTGGAAAACACACTGGTGATCTTGTCGACGGTGGCCCCTGATGCGGGAAGGTACTATGTGCAAGCTGTAAATGACAAGAATGGGGACAATAAAACCAGCCAGCCCATCATGCTCACTGTGGAGAGTAAGTGCTCTTTTGGGTGAAAAGTGGGGAGAGGGCTTTGGATTCCAGTTGACTGATTTTCTGAAAAGGTTCGCCTGCCTTTTTACCAACCAATTCAGTTGGCACAGGAGAAAGATCATGTACCTGCTCCATGTGCCACTGCTTCTTTGCAGTGGGAGAGCAAACTACAACATCAAACTATTTATCAATATCTAGTCAGGAACAAATGTAACAGTGTTATTCTTACTGCCATAAACACCAACACCATTCATCCTGACTAGACCAATATTATTTTAATTTTCTATATGACACAGCAAGTAAAGCATGCTCAGGCCCATTGAAGTGGAGCTCGGACTTTACTTTAGCATCCACTGAATCCTTTCAGAATCTGCATATAGAGAAATACAACTTTTTCAGACAGAGGGACAGCTGAGCGATCAAGACATCAGCCACTGGGTATTGTGGATGAAGGTTCTGTCCTTCCCAGAAAGAATCAGAGAGTTTGATTTTGACAACTTTACACCTCGTAGAGACCACACTTGTGCACACAACACACGCTACAAAGGGATTGGCAACTTTGAATAGTGCTTTGGCCATCTTTCAGGTGGTCCTGATAAAAATTGTGTTACGGAAGAGAATGGCTGGAGATGGTTTTGACTTCTTGCCCAACACTTTCAGCTCCCAACAAAGTTGACCAAACAATTATTTGAGGAGCTGCTGGAGAAAAAAACCCCTTATGCAGAGTCTTTCTTCCACATTTTGTTTTTAATACTCTCAAAGGACAAGGGGATGGGCAGATTGTGTTGGAGGGCAACAGAAGTCAGAGAATCAAGGTGGGGTGGCATTGACAATAGATCATAAAAGCAAATATGAGGGCTGTGCATGATTGATGGACTATATGTTGCTGGGACATGTCCTAGAACTTTGAGACACTGCCTGCATTTGACAATGAAATTGTTCGTTTTCAGTGTGCTTTCTGCAAAAAAAATGGAAAATGTGTATAAGATTGCAGCCTGAATCTCTTGTCACTTTAAGGATCTGGAAAGGCTGTCTGAATAAATGCCGGCCACACCATTTCAAGAGGCTAGCACAGTATGAATTACTTTAAACCTAAGTGCTGCAGCTAAGTGGGAGGTGGACTGAAGTTTATGCCTTGCTTATTTTCTGGTGAACCAATGGTCCCTAAAGCTCAGTTTTGTCGCCATTGTCTCTTTGCACCTGGCTTCTCTGATGCTTCTGCTGGCTCGGGCCCAGATTTAATTTGCAGTAAATCTCTGGCAAAGCGGCTGGTGCTGACTAAACATTTCTACGGGCTCTGAATTTATTTAGACACTTTGGGCCATAAGTATGAGAGCTAGGGGGCTTTCATTACATCACCAGCTCAGCCTCCCCCCTCCCCTTTCCTATCCCTGCATCGGCTTCCTGGTAGCAGAGTGCTTGGCTGCAGAACTGAGCCTGGGAATCTGCATGGCTGTAGCCTCTGTAAAGTCTCTAAGGGAATTCTCCCAGGACATGTGAATCCTCTTTCCCTCTGGATGTTTATTTCACAGCTGTTTTATGTCTCCCAGATTTGGCTTTATATCCCTTTCCTCCTCTTTGCCCCATTAATTTGAAGAGCTGTACCTCAGAGTGCAATAAACACCATAGTGCATGCCTTTATGGATTCAGCTATATCAGCAACTTGCAATTGTAGTCAAGAACTGGAGGAGCAGGGGGGAGTTATCACAGCAATTATTTTATTTTATGCACTTACCCTGTTGCAGCTTCTCTTGCTGCTGCTTTCTCTCTTCCCCTCCTTTCCTTTCCAATGCCAATTGCCGATGCCCAGCTACAGATCACAGCAGGTGACAGGATTTAGCAGAAAGTTATGGGGAAGGTAGGTATGGAATCTTAATATTGTTTTCAAAGATTTCAGCTCACCAAGCTGCATGGTGGGAGCTAAAATCCTGCCCTGTAAAGACACCTCCATCTTGCTGACTTTGATGGGGGAGCTTGCCTGCGCTCCATCGCTAAGTGGATGGGCCAACCAGTCTCCAACAAAGTCTGATGCATTCTTTTCCCCCCCCCCTCCCGGTGCGGAAATGCCACTCTCACTCACACCTTTCAAGTGTTTGATGTGACTCAAAAACTGCATGCAGAACAGGCAGCGCCCTTAAGCGGCACTTGAAACGTGAGAAGTCATACCGCCTTCTGCTGCACGCTTGGTGCTTCTTTGCTATTTTATTCTTCTGAATGGGAGTTTTAAGAAGGGACATAGGGTCTCTCTGTTCACTGTCAGGAAGCAAGAGTCAGTAGAGTGAAGCAAAACAGGAGAAGAAAAGAGAGGAGAATTAGATACAATTGGGTAAATGAGATATAGGACCAGCAACCAGTGTTTCTTGTCCCTACTAAGTGTAAACTGCTACAGTGGCCTGGTGGGTGAACAGCCTTGGACCAGGTAAGTATCATCTAAGAAAGAAGGTTGGGCCAAAAGAGAGAAATAAATAGTAATCAGGTAGAACGAGATAGGCTTCTTAAGCAGTGTGGTTTAATCTGCAGTGATTTCTGTTTGCACAGTCAAACCACAGCCTGCTTCAACTAGCCTTAAGCAAAAAGCTCAGTGGGATATTACTACCCTCCTTCCCCTGTGAGATTTCATCTGTTATTTCTTACATACCTCCAAATAGATTTCTCCAAATGCTTTCCCACTTGATAGCCTCCCAATATGGGGTAGCTACAACCTCTGGAATTCAAATTTGTGGGAAGTTGGAAGACGTTCAACTAGAATAGAACTGCAACCAATAATAGTATCTGAGCTCCTACCTAATCGTGGCACAGGTATACACATGGACTTCTCATGGGTAGATCTTGGATGCATCGGACGCTCCCGCAAGATGGCTGCAAGAATATTGTGGACAGACAGAGTCAAAGCTTGTAGGAGGACTAGTAGATGGTGCTAATGTCACACAGTCATGGAAAGAAGAATGTTAGGAATATACAAGAGCGGTGCGGCATGTTGCTGAATCTGGAATCTATTGTAGATAGAATAGCTGTGTGAGATGGAAATGTACAGGAGGAGTGGTAAAGTTTTTTTATACAATGAAAATCACTTCCGAAATGTGAATTGAGACATATATATATATATAAAATGATCATTTCTCATATATAAACAGTGAATGTTTTTGTGTAACAAATGAACTACTAACTGGTATACCATTCCATTTTTTTTTCACAGATGTAGGCGGTCCAGCTGACCCCATTGCTCCAACCATCATCATTCCACCCCGCAACACTAGCGTAATCTCTGGTACTTCTGAAGTGACTCTGGAGTGTGTGGCCAATGCTAGGTAAGTCTGCCTGACTGCTATCCTCTGTGACTTGTGACTCCGAATTACAATGAGGGCTCCTTTGTATTCCCCATGTGCCATGGCCCACAGCCCACTGACTGCTTCTCAAGGACATGACTGCCTGTCCTTGATGTTCTCCCAGCCCATTGCAAATTCAGCCTCCGCCCACCTTTAATTGCTCCACTCCAAAAAGGATGTTTCCCAACTTCTGCCAGCAATATTGTACCAAAGAGTCATTCTGCAACAAATCATCCCAAGGTAGATTTGGGGATGGAGGCCTACCTTGCTCCAGTTGGCCCCATGAGGCTTTTTTTGGCCCACACTCCACATGGTTGCAGGCCACAGACTTTAATGGCCATGGGTGAGAGTCGGGGTTTCTCATTGTGCCAAAAGGTTTCTCTCCTGCTTTTCTTACCAACACATTGAAAGGGATCCATCTTCACAAGCTTCTCTGCTAATCAGGCCACTTATCAAACTACACATCATCTGGAAGAAAGGTGGGGTTCCAGTATCCAGTGGCATCAGTGACTACAACCGGCGGTTGACCATCCTTAATCCCTCCCTAAGCGACAGTGGCTACTATGAGTGTGAAGCTGTGTTGCGCAGTAGCAGCGTACCCTCTGTGGTTCGAGGAGCTTATCTCTCTGTACTGGGTAAGAAGAAGAATCTTTGCTGAGTTTCTTTGCCTAAAGGGACTACTCGTCAGTTGGGCAACCACATCAGGCCAGCTGCTGCCGTAGTCCTTTGCTTCAGCACTGCGGTCGTCAGCCACTCAAAGCATTGCCCTAACTCCCAAGTACCGCTTTTCCATTTATGATGTGACATTAGTCATTCCTTAAAGTCATACTCCTGTTCAGGCTCAGTGTCAAGCAGCCATCATGTTTTTTTATCACCCAATATTATCCTGTATCCGATAACATGTCAGACTTTGCATTTCGAATGATTTTAAATGATGGTTTGACATACAGGACATTGCATTTGGATAGTGGAATATCAAACAGGATGTATCAGTTTTACTACCCTTGTAGATATGAGCCTAAAGACTGATTGGCATCATATCCACCCAGTCACTCTAATCATAACTCCATACATCCCCCTAACTTTAGCTTGACATGATACAGTTGTCTTCTTATCCCCATTTTAGAGCCAAGGCCTTGCTACCTTTGGGTTTTTCTCATCCGATGTGGAAGTAATATTTCCCATCTTCTCCCCATTCATGTTTTCCTGTGCACACAATATTTGGCACTTTGGTGGTGACTGAACTGTTGATGTGGCAGGGGCTGAGATCGGCTCAACTCCTACTAGCCACTTTTAGCTAATACAGGCATGCCCCTTTCTCTTCTGCATTGTGTAATGGCAGCTTCCACAATGTTCTTGTAACTTGCTGACTTGACCCAGTGCTATCTTCATGCACAACCTATGAAATCATACTTTATAGAACACTAATATATGTTTGAGTTCTAGAATCCTACAATAAAATGGCATAAAAGTTCTGACTATATATTTCTGAATATTTTTCCAATATCTTCCTTCCATCACAGTGTTTACTTCTTAATATGTGCCTATCCCACAACTCCAGCTTACACTGATCAGTACTCCCAGATCCCATGGTTCATGCTGGCAAGTTGCAAGGAAGTTTTCCCTTGTAGATTCCCCTTCCCCCATGTAAACTCAATCTGCCCTGTTCATGCTGGCAGGTCAAGTAAGGGCACCAACTACAAGAGGAGGACTCTCTTCCTTCAGCCAATGCCCCTCTCATCAACACATCTGACAGCAAACCCTTGAAGAGATGTAGGAGAGAAGAGCAAGCATCTTCTTCCCCCTCAAATCTGCTACATCATCTGCTTGTCTCTGACAAAATGGACCAAAATAATCTACAAGAAAAATTAGTGGATAAGCTAAGAATCAAGATAAATAAGAACAATCCCCCCTTAAAAAAAAGATAGGTAAGGAGCCCATATAAGGACCTCAGAAGACTTTAGTAATGGAAAAAGTGGAAATGAAAACCCATTAATCAAAAATGCTCTGACTGAAGGGATCAGATAAGTTAAAGAAGGAGGATGTGTTGATAGATAAGGATCCAAAGAACAGAATGAGGCTCACAGTGAGACATTGCCTCCTCCCCAATCCATGTTAGGGAGAGGGATTGTTAGAAGTATTTCTTGCTGATAGGAAATCCACAAATCATGGCACTTAGCTTGTCCTGAAATAAAATGTTAGGGCAGGTAACCACTTGCTGGCCTTATTATGAGAGCAGAATAGAGACCGACAAATAGAGCAAATAATGCTAGTATACTTTTATGTCCCCTTAAAGACTGGAGGAAAGCACATAACGGGTGGCCTGCCAGTATCCATAGTATCCAATAATGAGGGCAGGCTTTCAATCACTTCAATAGCGACTCGGTGATGCTGTGAAGATGCTGTACATCACTAGTGGGGAAATGGCCTGAGTCTTATTTAAGTTCAGGTCAGGTTATCTTTGTTCTTAAAATACAAACTTAATAAAAGTCATTCAGCAGAAATAATTTACAAAGATATGGAAATATCTCATGTGGAATTGTACTGAGAAGCCATCTAGCCCATAAGAAATTGATACTAGATCTTAGGCAGGAAATACTTTCAGATCGTTTGTTTTGTTTTGGGAGGTTTTTTTGGTGAGAGATGACAAAGATAGAAGCTGAAAAATTCCAAATGTAACCATGACATTTCGTTTTTAAAATTTATATGGAGAATATTCGGCTGGTCCTACATCTGATTTTTCTTTTACAGAACCACCCCAGTTCACCAAGGAACCAGAAAGACACATTACAGCTGAGATGGAAAAAGTAGTACAGATTCCATGCCAAGCTAAAGGTAATTTCTTCTGTTATATTAAGGATTGTTTGGACCAATGTAGTTTCAAATCAGAATAGTTAAACTTATAATCCTAGCCATCCACTATGTTGATAAATGACCATTTCCGTTAGATCTGCATTTGGGAGATTTTATATAGGGAAATGAATGAAGAAAATGTTCAGATACTCACCATTCACATGTAACTAAAAATATGTGTATGAGCACATTTCTGTTCCCATTGAGCTGCAACAAAACCACTAAAAGGCTAAGTAGGACACATTGATACGTGCCTTAATGTACAGGCCAGTGTTTTTCAATCTTGATGACTTTAAAAAAATGGACTTTAACCTCCAGAATTCCTCATCCAGCAAGCTGGATGGTAATTTCTGGGAATTGAAATCCACACACCTTTAAAGTTACTAAGGTTGAAAAACACTACTCTACTCCAAGATAGGGGCCTTATGCTGAACAGCAGCCTTATTTGCCGTAGCACTGAATATGTCATCACTCCCTGAGCTTTCTGTGAAAAAAAGCAGAGAATTTGAAGACTTGTGAAAAGGAAACTGTGACCTTAAACTGCAAGCTAGAGGCCTGATTTTAAGTTTGCAGCAAACAGTTTCTATGAATAGACCATCAAGGTTTTGTTTTGTGTTGTTTGAAATCCCAAAAGTTTCATGGTAGCTTTCGTTTGTTGGTATATTTGACAAATCTAAATAATAATAATAATAATAATAATAATAATAATAATAATAATAATAATAATAATAATAATAATAATAATAATAATAAAGTTGGGACCTTGGAGGTCATCTAGTCCAACCCCCTGCTCAGGCAGGAAACCCTGTACCATTTCGGACAAATGGCTGTCCAGTTTCTTCTTTAAAACTTCCAGTGTTGGAGCATTCACCGTTTCTGGAGGCAGGTTGTTCCATTGGTTAATTGTTCTAACTGTCAGGAAGTTTCTCCTTAGTTCTAGGTTGCTTCTCTCTTTGGTTAGTTTCCACCCATTGCTTCTTGTCCTGCCTTCAGGCGCCTTGGAAAATAGCTTGACTCCCTCTTCTTTGTGGCAGCCCCTGAGACCAAAGTATAGGATAAAAGGTGGGGGATGTCTATTTTCTCCTTCCAAAAGTTATCTACTTTTTATATTCCCTGGCCTGACCCTCCTGCTTGGTGTAGCTGCTTGGTATTTCAGCTGCCATTCCTTGTCCATTTGGGGGAATGTTCTTGTCAAGTATCCTTTCCCTTCAACCCTAGCATGTAAGAAGGGGAAAAAATCACCACGGCCTTCAGCTTTACTTGCCAGTAGAAAGTAAAAAAAGATGATGAAAGTGAAGTAAATTCTACAGGCTCCCCTCTTGATCCTTGTAGCTTTGAGGCATATGCTGGGGGAAATTAGCTCCCTTCCTTTGGGAGTTGGTTCAAAAGCACCCTCTATCATTCAAAATCAGCTTCATTAAAAATAGGAAAGAATAAAAAGTATCTCATTTTTAATTTGAGCCGAGGTAACCGTCAGTCAATAAATGCATGTATTTGCATAGGATGGTTGCTAAGACAAATATAATAAAATTAAGATATAACAGTTAACCAAGACACATACTTATTCTGTATGTCTAGCACACACATTCGATTCAAACCATGGTTTAATTATAAGTTGTTCCTGGCTAATCATGTTACCTATACCTTTCTAGTTGAAGAATCCATTCAGCAAACAATTCCTTCCTTGGGTTTCCTTGATACCTTAAATCCTGTAAATTACAATCACAGTTGAGATCAATTTTAACACTGGTTTCATTTTTTTTTTCTTCCCTTTTCCTGATGCATTTGTGGCTGAAACAGATTTCCCCATTTCAGTTATTCCTGGATCACGTTATCAGATGATCCCTGAGGATACCAGCTGTTCTTCCTTCCATTTCCCTGGACATCATTTTTCATCTTGCAGGGCTTGGATTTAAAAATTATTGAGATTTGGGGTGGGGGGGTGTCCCTTCTTGTATACAGGTGGCAGAGCATACATTTTTCCCTCTGATAATGTAGATTCAAACCAGGAGGTTTAATGTGGGTTCCCTGACTTGGGTGAAACAGTCAGTTTCATTGTTGCTGGATGACAACATAGGGTGGTATGCTTAAAAAAAAGATAATAAAAATAAGAAAGAACCACAATGAATAAGAGCAATAAAGTAAAAAATAGCAATAAAAGTCAACTATCTGAACAAAATTCTATTCTCAGGTTTTCTTAGATGGCTGAAAAAAATATAAAATATTATCACGGAAGGAGATTTTAAGTGAGCCCTCCCTGGGAGGAGAATTCCACAAGAGTTTTCCCTTTCCACATCTTAGATGGCAAGTGTACAAAGACCTCTGTCCATAGACAGTTCTGTAAACAAGTCTTTAAATCATCATTAAATCGGGATGGCAAATATTTCACTAGCTTTTATGTGTTTGAGCACAGACGATGACATTAGACCTCCTCTTAAAGCACAATGAATGTTTTGATTTTATTCTTGAATTATTTAAAAAGACCCTGTTTCCTACTTGAGATTATTAAATCAGATTTGCTACATCATTTGTAGCAAATCTCAAATTTGTCTAGAAGATTTGATCAGGTTCTTAGAGGAGGAAGGAATGAGGCAAGCTTGTCTAATTTCAATTTTAACTTCATTCAGTTTGATCAATGAGTGCCACGGGGGGGGGGGGACTCTTCTTGAAGTCCACCCCAACTCTGATGAGTTCTGAAGAATACAAAGATATGTTTTAATGTCTCCCGACTGTGACTCTTGGTTTAAGAAATAGAGGTTTTTCAGAAGGGAAGCTACATGTATTGGTTAAATAAATAAAGATGAGAAGGAGGAGAAACATACATGCATCAGAATCCAGCCATATGAAAGCAATTAATAAAAACACCACATATGTTTAGGTATTAAGTATCATCGTTCCAGTACTGCCTAATGCAGGGGTAGGCAACCTTGGCTCTTTTATGACTCGTGGACTTCAACTCCCAGAATTCCTGAGCCAGCATTGCTGGCTCAGGAATTCTGGGAGTTGAAGTCCACAAGTCATAAAAGAGCCAAGGTTGCTTACCCCTGGCCTAATGGATCTCTCTGTGGCCTTCTTATCTGCCTGTTGGCCTTAATTTTTAAATAATTTATCTTTAAAATTCCTTTTTTTTTTCGGTATTGCAGGTGTGCCTCCACCCAGCATGTTCTGGTACAAGGATGCAGTACTACTTGGAATGGAGAAGCTTGCCCGCTTCAAGCTGCTTGCCAATGGGAGCCTGCAGATCAGTGGCCTAATGCCAGATGACACAGGGATGTTCCAGTGTTTTGCCCGCAATGCTGCTGGAGAGGTGCAGTCTTCCACATACCTGGCTGTCACTAGTAAGTGTCAGAAGTTCATTTCCCCTAGCGTGCTTTGCTGATTTTGCTGCAGTACCTTCCGCTAGTGGTGCTAATGTAAGTGATTAGTAGTCAGACACACGTGCACACCCAGCTCAGTAGCGTTGAGGTATTCATAGAATAGCAATTGGATTTGTTGAGTTGGAAAGGACCTTGGAGGTCTTCTAGTCCAACCCCCTGCTCAAGCAGGAGATCCTCTATTGCAGGAAGAGAGCACCCATAAGGGGAATGCAATAGAAGAAGTGAATGTTATTTTGATAAAGCAGTGTTAATCTACAGCAGGGGTAGTCAACCTTGGCTCTTTTATGACTCGTGGACTTCAACTCCCAGAATTCCTGAGCCAGCTAAGCTGGCTCAGGAATTCTGGGAATTGAAGTCCACGAGTCATAAAAGAGCCAAGGTTGACTACCCCTGATCTACAGGGAAGGGCAAGATAAGATGTCTTTGGAGAGCAGGTTCTCCCTCTTTTTCACTGAGAGATGATTTCCGCAGTGCAAAGCATAGCACGGTATCCATTATTAACCCTGAGCCCAAATGACCTTACGTGGGGTCAGGCCTTTTTGAACTATTGTATCTCTGCTCAGTTATGGTAGACTTTGGGGTGGGGTGTCAGGGAAATAAAATTCAGTGTTGTGTTAAAGAGTCTGGTAGTTCAAAACTCTTCCTATAAGCATTCTTCTCATTTCTCCCTCATTACAGGCATTGCGCCCAACATAACCAGAGGGCCCTTGGACAGCACAGTGATTGATGGAATGGCTGTGGTTCTCAGCTGCGAGACCTCTGGAGCTCCCAGACCGGCTATCACCTGGCAGAAAGGTAATAGTGAATTGGGAAACTCTTTATTCACGCTTTGGAAAAGCAGGAGTCAGGCACGCAAGAAACTAGCATGGCAGAGCTCTGTATTTTGCAAGAAGGATTTGAAGCATCCCTAGTTTGTAAAAAAAAAGGTTTTGGAATTCGGTTTCTTTTCACACAACAGGAAGTCCCCTTTTTTTTTCACTCCCTCTGAACTCTTTTGTGTGCCCTCAAATCTGTGAACAGTTTTTGGAAATTTATTTTATATTTATTTATTAGAATATTTTTTTTGCTGCCTTTATTGCATTGTAAGTACCTCGAGGTGGCAAACCTACCTAATACACCTTCCTTCTCCTATTTTCCCCACAACAGCAGTCCTGTGTGATGTGTTGGGCTGAGAGAGAGTGACCAAATTCACCCAGCCAGCTTTCATACCTAAGGCAGAACTAGAACTAACAATCTCCTGGTTTCTAGGCCAACACTTTTATGTATATCAAAGAGGATCTATTTCTGTGACAGATGTGAAGGGCACAATTGAACACCAGTCAAACTCTTATGGGAAAACCAGCTCGTTGAGGTTCAAATGGGCTGGAATAACCAATGGATTTGGTTTTTCTTAACAATTTCATAGCCTCACTGAACCTAAAACTCCTCTGTGTCTTTTATAAAGTTACTGACTTCCGTTTAGCATGATCCTTACAGGACACCTTTGATCAGCTACACCAGGGAATAATGTCTCCTGTATCTATAGCCAAATATTTAATCCTACTCGGAGCATATTTTTAGATCAGAGAGTGTATTTCAGAAATTCTAGCCCTACAGTAAGATTCCTCTGGGATAAGAAGGAAATCAGAATTGAGAGCAAGGGAGTTTACATTCCAAATCATAGGGAGAATTAGGGCTAAGCCACTAAAGAATTAGCTATCTATGACCCCTATTCCCATTCATTCCCTACTGATGGGGTGGGATTAAGTGGGGAAGAAAGATTCAGTCTGGGAGTATCTGAGAAATAGAAATGAATAAATGATCAATAAGTAGTTTGAAAGAACAAAAAGAAGCAGGCAACCCATCATTTCCAGATGTCTATGACAGTTCCAACCCACTTGACAAATTGTGTAATGGGTGTGGGAATTATAGTCCAAAATACCTGAAGAGGATCAAGTTGTCCTTTCCTGCAAAGGAGAGGTTTCCTACCCACCCAAAATCTATCTCTCTGCTCCCAGGCAATTCAAACTTTTCCTGCCTTTATTATGCCTGCCTCAGTTGCACAGGAAAAGTTGATGCCCCCTTAGCCTTTTTTTTTTTTTTTTGCAAATCTTCATTTCAAACTGTGTGACAAGCCAAGCTCATATTTTATGATATGTTCTAAAGCAGACATGTCAAACACAAGGCCCGGAGGCCGGATGCGGCCCGCGAAGTGGTTTCATGTGGCCCGTAAAGCCATCCTGGAAACAGTGAGGGAACGGCCCCGCTGCTTTGGCCCTGGCCCAGGCCGGCCAGGAGCCAATGTACAATTTTGTGGTGGCCATCTATGCTGAAACGCATTCAGTCTTAGTTCCACAAGGCCATCTAGAAACACCGAGGAACCAGCCCCTGCCACGTCGGCCCCACCCCCTGGGTGCATGCTGGGGAGGTGTCACCCTTTATGAGGAATGAAGAAATGGACCATCACCTGGAAGTGGCCAGCAAATGGCCCTCGCCTACTTCACATATCCAGCTTGATGGGCTCTGCCCTGGTCCCACCCCTTTCTGCCAGAGACCCTCAGATCTGTCCCACTCCTGCCCAGGCCCCCACAGGCACCTTGACGCAAATGATGTAGAGCTGGCTACTCCCACCCAGTAGGCCACACCCACTCCATCCACGCCCACCCAGTAGGCCGCACCTACCTGGCCTCCCGAGGGCAACCGCAATGTTGAAGCGACCCTCAATGAAATTGAGTTTGACACCCCTGTTCTAAAGCCAACATTTCCTCTCTTGGGCCCTTTGAATTCATAAATCATAGGTAGGTTGAAGCTCATCTGCACGTAGGAAGAAGAAACCTTTGACAAACCTGTCGATCATTTTCTCTGTGTCTGGCTATCTTACCAGGTGTACAGATCTCTAGGTTAGAGCTGAGATCAGAACTGGTGATTTGACAAAATCCACTGGCAGCCTCAGTGAGGCTCACCAGTGATCACGCAATAAAGTCTCTCTTCTCTCCTACAGGTGAGCGGATCCTGGCCAGCGGTTCAGTGCAGCTTCCTCGTTTTACTTTGCTAGAGTCGGGAAGCCTCCTCATCAGCCCTGCCCGGATCTCGGACGCTGGCAGCTACACTTGTCTTGCTACTAACTCGCGTGGAGTCGACGAAGCCTCTGCAGAGCTGATTGTCTGGGGTAAAAGTCTCCCCTTCGCCCTCTTTATTAGCTTCCCATTTCTTTCTCTTGGGAACCCCATGCCTGTAATTTGTTTCGTTTCTAATCTCCTGCAATCCTCAGGATTATACTTTCCCAAATTTTATGACAAACCACCTAAGAATGCCAGACTTTATTTCCCAATTATTTTTTATAGGAAACTAAGGAAGATTGAAGTGATAATCCTCCCATTTAGGTTGAGTGCTTTTTAGTGCACTTTAAAGTTAAAAATCCCCTCCACGAAGGCAGAAATGGAGGACAACGACCAAAAGCCCTACTTTCCTTGATAATCTTGAATAACGCTGCTTTGCTCACCACAGTTTTCAGCGGCCGGAGATGGGGGGGTGGGGGATAGGAGACAGACAGTATCCTGATATAGCAGAGTTTCCCACATTTGCCTTTACTTGTTCACTAAGCAATTGGTCCAGGAATGATGCAGAGATGTCAAGTGTGGTTTGCCTCTCTGCCCAGTTTCTTAATGGCATATTGGTGCATTCCTATAAATGTAGCACGTCGTAAGGCATCAAATGATAAGTTTGATCCCACAGTGTCATGTTATGGGAACTATCAGTGCAATTTTCCTGTTAATCTGCAACGCAGCAAAGCACAGATGTGCTACCATCTTAAGATCAACGGCCCATGTGGGTTGTGAGTGTCTAATTGTTTTTGAGAGCATATCCATCACCTTTCAAAACCAGTTTTAACTCTGCCTAATAAAGCAATTGCCATTAGGTCTGCCACCGCTCCTGGTTGAGGTGGATTGGTTCCCCCTGCTGGCCCTAAATGGAACCATAAGCTCCGAGGATCTATTTTGTTTTATCTGTTTGATGGTTCCTATATGAAATATGAATGTAATCTTGCTCACTTGGTGAATTACCCTATAAAGCCCACCCTGTATTAGCCACCCCCACATTCTCTTTTGTAGATCTAGCAGGCATTTTGAACTTCGGTTCCCCTCGGCTTCAGTCGGGATAATTGGCAAGGCATTGTGAGAGCCACAGTGCAAAATATCTGGGGCACTTGCTTATTCCTCCCCTCAGTGTATACGGGAGGCAAGTACAAAGCTCACATTCAGTGAAAAAGCCTCCTTTGTGACAGCACTTAAGTGATGGGGGTTTCAGCCCGGCTGGATTAAATAGCATGACTGATCAAGTCAGCTGCTTCATCAGGCAATTGACCTCCCTTCTCTGTGCTGATAGCACAGTTACCAAGGAGTCAGATAGAAAGTGGTCATTTTCATTGTCCTTCCAGTTGCCATTAAAGAGGCTGGGAAGCTATCATTGCTTAAAGAAGCCCTTTGCTTACAAGATCGCTCTAAAACTATCTTTTTCAGTAGCTGAACAGAAAGGGATAACTCCCCCTTGTGTATTCTAAATATTGCTGACTGAAAGGAGATAGTTAACTCCATGTGGCCTCCCTTCCACTTTAGGTGTTTGCACAACACAGAGAAAACTCCTCATTTGGTTCAGGTGTTGTTGTTGTTTTAATTAATTAATTAATTAATTCATTCATTTCATTTTATTTCTGTGCCGCTCATTTCCCTCAGTTTGGTGTATTGTGTGAACAGGATCACCTTGTATGTAGGTGGATGGATGGACTGATGTTGCTTGGCTGGAACCAAGGACCCAGTGTAATTGTAGCAAGAGAGGTGTTTTCTCTTGTTCTATCAATTTAAATTTAGAGCTTGGGTGTATGATATTTGTGTTAGTGGTTTCACCATAGCTTGGGTTGCACCAGATGATATATGTCAAGCAGTCTGGGGAGAGGAATAGTTGCGGTTAAAGATTGAATTAAGGCCCCTTTCATTTTATGCATTCAAAAACGATGGGGGGATATTTGTTTGTTTAATCATTACAATTATGACATAACAGATCTGGTTTTGGGGCCTCCTGCTCCTAGTCTTAGAAAAAGTATGCCTTTATCACCAGAACTTAGCCTTCTAGGTGTTGAATCCTGATTTGATATGGAACTATGTGTGTGTACCTCTATCCTATCCCATTTGGATTTGTGTTCAAACTGTGTCCATGTGTCTTCTGTCTATTTGTGTTGGCAGCCCGGACTCGTATCACCAACCCACCTCAGGATCAAAGTGTCATCAAAGGCACCAAGGCTTCAATGACCTGTGGAGTAACACATGACCCCAATGTGATAGTTCGGTAGGTGACCATTTCTCATTTGTGCTAACGTGAAGGAAAAGTGAGAAAAGAAATGAGAGCCAAGTAAAAACTATCCATTTTTATAATACTAGCTGAGGATTCTCAAAAAAAAAAAAAAAAAAGCCGAACGTCCTTGTACTTTAAATTTCCAAACCTCTTTATAAGAAAAAGAAATACTCAGCTTAGAAGCAATGCCAAAATCCTGTATATACTCTCAGTGATTTCATGAGGAGCATATAAATTCCTGAGTAGGGGTTTGCTTGGATTTCTCCTGCTAGGAAGGAATAGTTTATTGACCTCAGCTCAGCTGGCCATTGCACCTTTCTTCATACAAATTAGTCCCTTTGAAAAGAGACACTCTCTAGCCATCTCTGCAATCTGGGAACAATCAGGAGTCCATTTATCAACAATGCTTTTCTAAGATTGATGTTGGAGTCTTGCAGTATGACAAAGCAAGGCAACTTCTAGCCACATCTTTATGCTCTTTAAGAACATTTATTGAGAAACATAATGCAGAATACATACATGCAAATTCATAGACCTATATTGCCACCTGGTGCTTAGCTTAGTTTTGAGGCTGAGTCAAATTGTTGTGTTGCACTATTGAGTGAAAGCACATCATAGTGTGCCTTTTTGGAAAGATCTCCTTTCCTTCTCTATAGAGGGTGTTAGCCAGGCTGCTAAGTCTGCCTAAGTTCATGCTTCATATTAAGTCAAAATATGGTTTTGTTTTAGCTTAACATGGTTAACCCAGTTCATACGGTTATAGAGTAAAGTGTGAACATAACCAGTTGTCATTTATTCTCCAAATTAGGGTTAAACAAATATATAAACCTATTTGTGAACAGTATGTTACATTGTAGGAATACATATTAAGAGATAACTAACATGCATAAATATCCAGGGGGGGGGGGATTGTGTCACATACTAGTACACTAGTACTAGTGTACATACTAGTTTTTGATGAGCAGTCCATCACCTGCAGAAGAAGCTAGAGTGCTCTAGAAAATAGTTTAGACAAGAACTAGGATTAGAGGATTAGATCATTAGATCATTGCAATCAGATTTGAGAGATGATCTGCTTCTAGTTCTTTGCAACCTGGCTTAGGATATCAGGAATCAATCAAAGATCCCAATAGCAATCTGGATACACTAGGAATAGTTGGCAGGGGAGGAAGCTTTATCACCATGCCTGGTTTCTTTTTCCATAGGTACATGTGGGAGAAAGATGGCACAATTGTGAACACAGAGAACATGCCACGCCTGCGTCTGGAGAGCACAGGCACTTTGCACATTGCCCAGACCTGGTCAGGGGATATTGGCACCTATACATGTCATGTGATATCTGCTGGAGGCAACGACTCTCACAGTGCCCACTTGCGAGTCCGGTAAGGCTACCCTTCTTCAGTACAGTTATAGAATCTGAAATTCCAGGGCTGGACGTGTTCCCCCAAAATCTTTGATGTAGCTACCAGAGAGACCACCCAAAAGTAACCTAATTATAGCATGATTGAGGGAGAGAACTATTATATAGAACAGGGGTAGTCAACCTTGGCTCTTTTATGACTCGTGGACTTCAACTCCCAGAATTCCTGAGCCAGCTAAGCTAAGCTGGCTCAGGAATTCTGGGAATTGAAGTCCACGAGTCATAAAAGAGCCAAGGTTGACTACCCCTGATATAGAACATTGGGAGGGATCAAATTAAAATGTATTTTAACTATGTGTAAACGTAAATGAAATCATACTTTTTGGGAATGTGGGCTAGGCATACTACTCAGAAGCCAAGTACAGGGATCAGGTAATGAAGGTGGTGCATTCCTGTTCTAGAAATGAGGAACCAACACATTCTGATGCACAGATGAACCAGAAATTGGCTAAAGTATGAGTGAGGCTGCTGGAAGAGATGATCAAACGCGTTCCAGTGCTACGCATTCATATTTTCCTTTATATCTAGCAAGAATACCATAGCTATAAGTCAAGGGGCATGCTCTTTTGGCCTCTTGAAATCACCATAATGCTTACTTCTTTATGAGCCGTTCTGCAACTCCTAGTTAGACTCTAATTTCTCTCACCATGAAATGATACGCAGTCAGAGGTCTTCCACAATGTTAGTTCAGCAGCATAGGAGTAATTATAATGTGGTACGGTCGCTGTCGACATTTGCACACATGCAATACGGCCACATGTGTGTTCCTTACCAAATCATAATCTACATTATTTATTGCCTAATCATACTCTGTATTATTCATAAGCATGTCTGCAGCATTTACAGCACACTGCATTGAAGCAACTTTCACACTGCAAACCTGAATATCAATAACATTTTATTCATTGAATAAGCATAAGGCACTCCTATTTGAAAATCTTGATAATTGCTCCACAGAAATGACACGACACTGTTGCCTGGTAAAATCAAGGGCTCTAAATATCCCTTGGGAGACTTTGTGCTCCCTGCTATTTCTCCACAAATCTCTGACTCACTGAATCAACACTGTGATTAATTTGCTCCATTATAAACACCAACAGCGATAGCCAGTCTAACCTTGTAATGCATGGTGGCTTGGAGGTCTCTTTCTACGTAGCCTTTCCTTCCTAATGAATGCCCTCTACTTTCATGGCTCTTTGTTACGGCAGCTTCTAAAATATGTTCTTCTACCATTATCTTCATCAGGCAGCTTCCACATGCACCAGAAAACCCCGTTGCCAGGCTAAGTACTGTAGAGAAACGGGCCATCAACCTGACATGGACCAAGCCCTTTGACGGAAACAGCCCATTGCTACGTTACATCCTTGAGGTCTCCGAAAATAGTAAGGCACCATCTTCCTACCATACAGTTGCCAGGTACAACTTGCCCATGTTCTTGTGGCAGGCAGAACTGGAGGATCCCTTCTCAAAAGTGATGGGGAAAAAATCCTGTGTGGGACTGTGGCAAAATGGGTGTTTGGGAGTCCTAATTTTCTTGTTGCAATTTGTGGATTGTTCTTTTAAGTGTTATATGTCTCAAGAATCCATCATAGTTTAAAAAATACTTCTTATGCCCATTGCTGCTAGTAAGCTTACAGGACTACTTTGTATTGAACAGGCTGATTTCCTTTACCCCTGGCAAAACTCTGAGGTGGTTATTTCTTGACTGATCAAATTATCATAACTTCTTCCCATAGCAGTGATCTTTAGAATGCAGCCAGGAGCAGAACTGGATCCTGGCTTTTAAAGAATGGGATGCTGTGTAAGATTGAACCAGGCTTGGAATTTTCTCTGCAAGTACTGGATCATTCTGGACAAAATTTGGTCCATGGGAACACTACCTAAAAGAATCTGCAGATGGACTATATAAGAACCATTTTTCTTTTAAAGATGGGCAGCATGCATTGTATTACCATAATTCTTCCTAAATAACTTTCCATAGGATTATACCTTACCCCTCTCTCTCTCTCTGTCTCTCTCTGTCTCTGTCTCTCCCTCTCCCTCTCTCCCTCTCTCTCTTTTTTTCTCTTTCTCTCTCCAGATGCTCCCTGGACAGTTCTTATGGCCAGTGTGGATCCTGAAGTAAATTCAGTGCTGGTGAGAGGATTAGTTCCTGCCCGCTCATACCAGTTCCGCCTTTGTGCTGTTAACGATGTGGGCAAAGGCCAGTTCAGCAAGGACACTGAGAGGTGAGATGCCCATATCTGACATGGGCAGCTGCAGATGTAATCACTTGCAAAAGTAGAAGGGCTGCTATGATTTAAAAAAATGTAAATGTTTTGATGTATCTCTACTAACTTCCATTTTGTAAGAGAAAAAGCCAAATATAATATGTTGGGTTAGCATTGCCCCAGCTCACACTTATGTATAGAGATACTTGTGATTGCACCAAGGAAACCTATCATTAACTAATGTTTAAAGGGGAGCATGGTCACGTGACATGGCAAGACAGCAAGACTTGGATTATTATCAATAGTATGTCCCAGTATTGTATGATACAGACACAGAGCTTAGCAAAACCAGATAACTTCTCCCTTTATATCAAGATGGAATTAAAGAGTGTTTATGTAAGCAAATGACTGCACCATTTAGTACAGTTCATGCATGCACAGGACAGTATTTTGATATGTCTAAGATTGGATTGGCTTCATAAGGACTAAATGTTAAGCATTAAGGTGTGTGTGTTAAACCATACTCTGAGCCAGCTTTGAAACATGTCTCCTACATTTTGTCTCCTTCCACAGGTTGTCCCTTCCGGAGGAACCCCCTACAGCACCCCCACAAAATGTCATTGCCAGTGGTCGCACAAACCAATCTATCATGATCCAATGGCAGCCACCACCTGAAAACCACCAGAATGGCATTCTCAAGGGATACATCATTAGGTAGGTAGATATTAACATATGGGTGGCTAGATCATCAGGGGAGATAAATCCTTGGAAGCCTTTCTGATCCTTTACTGATGGGTGCAAAATTGGAAATGCAGTGGCTACCTACTGGGCTTAATTATTCCTACTGATGATCTTATTGATTCAGCCATGATCCTGTTGTCCTTTTTCCAGATTTTGCCTGGCTGGTCTGCCAGTTGGCTACCAGTTCAGGAACATTACAAATGCTGACGTCAACAATCTACTGCTTGAGGACCTAATCATTTGGACTAACTATGAAATTGAAGTGGCTGCCTACAACAGTGCTGGATTGGGTGTCTACAGTGCCAGAGTCACAGAATGGACTCTCCAGGGTGGTAAGTTATGATACAAAGTCATACGAGGAGAGAGGAAGCCCTACTTTTGTTGGTGAAAGGATCAGTTCTTGCCCATTCACACCAGTTCCATTTTCTTCCACTGTAGCTCTCAAAGCCATGAAACATTGAAAAGCAGTTGTAGTAGGCTTAAAAAGGCAGGAACATACCATGCTGAAGATTCAGTATACCCTAGGCACTAGACAACTCCCTTTAAATCTCAGTCATGTTTTGCTCTTATAGCCTTGATTCCAAGTGTAAAGCTGATGAACATAAAATGGGAGGTTGGGGTGCACCTTGTAGATGATGCTGAGATGTTTTCATTCAATTTCTCCTTTCACAGTTCCCACCGTGTCTCCGGGTAATGTACAGGCTGAGGCCACCAATTCTACTACCATTCGTTTCACCTGGAACCCTCCTAGCCCCCAGTTTGTTAACGGCATCAACCAAGGCTACAAGGTAAGAGGCAGTTCAAGAAGGGAGAGAAATGCCATTTGCTTCTAAGGCATTTAGAGCTATAGTCAACAGTTGTGATAAGTCTTCCTTTCTCTCTGGACATCCACCACATGCACTTGGACTCTGGGTAGAAATTCTGGGAATTGCAAGCCCAGCACATCTGGAGTGCAAGCTTGGGGAAGGCTGGTTGTAACCCCAAAATTCTCCTGGTTCCTTATGAGATTGGACAGATGTTGAAAATGTCAGAATGAACATTTGTGTGGCAGTAAACAGAGGCACGAGCTATAGTTTTGAGATGATTGACTGGATAGTTATTTTTGTTCCAGGAAATCTGAGTGAAATAGAATTAAGATAAGATAGTTCAGACGTCTGCATATCAGAGCTCCCATTCTGCCTCTTTCCCCCAAGTACGAACAGGATCTATAGTCATCATTCTTTCATTACCTAAAAGCTATATAACCTATTGTCTTCCATCAAGAAGGGGCCAAGCGTTCCTGCTGTTTTCTGCTTGTACTTCTTGATGGGAGTCAATAGAGTTACATAGCTTTCTGGTTTCTTTTCATTAACAGTTTTAGCAGCCTTAATCATGGCAAAGAGTTGTCCCTGGATCAACTAATGATCTTTGTCTTATCTGTAAATTTCATCTAATGGGATCTTTCTATCCTACTAATCAGTGTAATTTACAAATGGTACAAAATCTGACTCTCCTTCTTCTTGAACAGTCATAGGTGAACTATTAACAATAAGTAGATCCAACTTTCCCCCACCCACCAAGCAACCACTAAGTAGTCTTATTTTATGACTTATTTTAAGACTTAAGTAAGACTAGCAAAATACGTCTTTGCTTCTGGGGGTTTTTTCCCTATCATCCCAGAGCTACCGGTGGCTATAAAAGATCATTTTAATTATGTGATTCCTCCTTAGCAGTGTTAAATGGGGATCTCTTGTAAGAACTAACCATTTTCAAGGCTGCTACTTTACTGTATATATTATAGGAAGCTAGTGCACCCATGTGCTCCAAAATGAAATGGCAACTTGGATTTTAAAATGAAAGTTTTTGCCACTGCTTTTTTTTTTGAGGAAGCTTCTTGTCTAAGGTAATAGAGAGAATAGCCAGTAGACAGAATACAATTAATGATACTTAAACTCTCAATGCATACAAATCTGGAGAATCCTCTTAGTTTACACTTATTTGATAATCAGCTCCTTTAAAATAAGACCTTTCTTAGTTCTCCTTTAATTAAAAATCTGTTTTCATGGCTTCAAGCTTATCTGTTAGAATATATTTACAAAAAGATAATACTTGTATGGAAGACTTGACTTGTGTGCTTAATTCTGAATTGTAATTAATTCAGATTTGCATTAATTAAATTGAATTTAAATAATTAAAACTTGCTTCTTAATCTACTTCAGAGGAGTTTGAAAATTTAATTGCTGCCAAATGAGATAACCAACCTTAAGAAGGATACTTAACATACTTATTAAATGCCACTTAGTATTTTTGATTAGTATTTTGGAGGCCTAATTAGTATCTAATTAACTTGCTATAGGCTATCTTGCACTCTGCCAATTAAGCACCCAAACATTCTTGCATGTAATGCCATCACAAAGTAGTTGATTATGCATTGTTGCAGCATCAGTTAATCGGACTTATTTTGGAAGGATAAAAACACACATTAAAACTAAACTAAATTTTTCATAATTGATATTTAAGCAACTTTCAATAAAAATTATCTTTCTGAGCCTGTCTTCCCAACCATTCTCTGGCTTTTTTAAAAAGCTGTTTCTGGTAGATGTTGTAAACAGCCATCAAAGCTGCCTGTGTTGTCCTGTGTTTGGTAGTCCTTCATTCATTTGAAAGGTATCTTCTTTTATGCCTCTTTTATGGACAAACTAACTGTTTTTCTTTAAAGAAAAGTGATTTTATTCCAAGCTGCATATCCAAGAAGAGAACACTCTGGTTTCTTTTATCATTTGTGTTGCTCTTCCAAACAATAAAATAAGGATTGATGAACTCCAATAAACAATAATCTGAAATTCAGTTATTCCTGGAATGTGGACCCAGCAGCTTTTCAGACATCTCACAGAACAGAGGCAGAGTTCCAATGTTAAGAGGGGAAGTTATGCTTCATTTCTCACTGAACTCCCATGAGTATCAGTGTCAGTGCATATCAGTGAAGCTCCTACCTAAGAAATGTGGAGGAAGTTGGAGGAAGAGAGTAAGTGTAGGTAAGCTTGTGTGAATCCAGCAGTTTCCCAAGTTCTCTAGGCCTTGAACACACCTCACAGACTTGCAATTTTTTTTTCCTTCCTCAGAGTTCATATAACATTTTCCTCCCACAATAAGGAACTAAAGAGTCATACAAATCCCTCTTTCACCCTGCCAAATTTATATCAGCAGGGATTCAGATTCTTCAGTAATTATCCTTCTCCGAGGGTTGTCATAGTACCCATTGCTTTGAAGGAAATTGTACAGTAGTCAGTCTGCATTTAAAAAACTAAATTTAAAGCTTGTGGTTTGATATAATGACTGTCCAGCTTCTACTAATATTCCATTCTGAATAAATGCACTATAGCTGCTTAATTCCTGGATAATACCGTTAATTCAGGTTTTTTTTGTCCCTTTCTGGATTTCAGCCCTTTTTTTCTCTCTCTTTGACCCTGATGGAGACCTGATATTCTCTCTGGACCACATTTTCCATGGCCTTTGATTAGGGAATACCTTTCCCTCTTTACCCCTTCTCAGCTGATTAAAAAGCAAACAGTACAATAGGTACTACTTTTCCTGTTATGTGGCTAGAAGGGGAAGGTGGCAGAACTCTTGACAATTTCATCTGGTTAAAAAAAAGACACCCATATATAAGGCACTTTACGGTTTCAGTGTCTTGGAGATGTCTAAGAGAGAGAAAAAAACCCCACAAGCATTCAGCTTATTGCCCAATTCTCTATCCCTTCAGCGCATTTCTTGCTACAGAGCAAGAATTGGCAGTCTTTAATCCCAATGAATTTCTTCCCACATGAGTTTGAAGAGACTTAGAGGAAGTAAAAAAAAAGATCACAGAAACAGAAAGACATAGAAGAGGATTGTTAAAATCCCATGTGGATCTCAAGCAACATTTTGACTAATAGTGCAGTAGGGATTGAGGCCAGAATCATTAAATTATGTAAATCAAGATCCTAGCAAAGTTTAACAGATGGACATATAGGTCAGCAGTCACATCCCACCTAGCTTAGAAAGCATATATCAGTAATGTCAAGAATGAGATGGTAAACCGGAATTTTACTTCAAGAACCTTATATCCATCTGACTGTTATCCAAGGATTTTAACACTTGTACTCCAGAGTGCTCCAGAGGTGAATATTAACTTCTAACTAGAACAGAATGAGATCCCAGATAATAACCTATTATGATCAAGGGATCACATTTTTCTCTAGGTTTTCTTTAGTATGTTTCATCCTCTGAGAGCTACAGGGGAATGGCCAAGATCTAGTGATATTAATGAAGGGATTGGGCTGCAATATTCAGTTGTCATTCTTGGTGATCTGTTATGATCATTTTGGAAAGTCTGGGAGAGATTTCCATTCCATAAAAGTGTTGTGGATAAGCATACTACGGAGCTATAGAAATGTTTCCTTTGCTGCTGCTACTAAGTAAAAATTTAGCAACCAAAAGCTAGGATTAGTTGCCTTATGTTGGTGGCATGATCTTAAGTGGTTTGAGGGCTGTGAAAATGACCAGTTCAATTTCTGAGCAATACATGCTGGTGTTTTTCCCTCTATACATATACTTCAGTATTCTTTAACCTTTCAGTCACAATCCCAGGAAGACATTGCCTAACAGAAACTATATTAGTTAGATCTCATGTTAGCAGAAGAAGGGCAAAGAAAAATGCCATATGGTGTTTTACTAATGATGTCAATCATCCATGCAACAATCATCCAATGCAACATGCATCATGGTGCATTGCCTGTCAGTTTTTCACAGCAGCGCTGTTTGTCTTAGCTACTCTTCAGGCCAGTCTACAAAATGGGTCATCCCTAATAGGCAAGAGGAAAAATCCTATCTGACAATTTTAAGACCATTCAGCCAGTCCAGTATACTTTTGAAGGTCAGAAGAGAAAGTTGACAGTATTTAACCATCTGCTCACAAAATCTTAATAAGAAGCATGAGAAAATGTGGAAGCTTTATTGAGGATCTTTCAGCTCTATGAGGTAAATCCAGGGCTTTTTTTGTCATAGAATGCCCAGAACGGAGTTCCGGCACCTTTTTTGAATGGAACATTGTAGGGTAGGCAAGGTGGATTGTATGACGTGTGTACGTTCCGGCACCTTTTTTTTTTTTTTTTTTACAAAAAAAGCACTGAGTAAATCAGATTAAGAAAGTACAGTAATGCCATTTAGGTCAGGACTAATTTTATTGCAACAACTGTAATAAAAGAATCTTGCAACTCTGGATGTGACTTCCCCTTCTTCCCTTTACCTTTACCTCTTGTCTGAGACATTTACTCAAATTAATTTCTTGGCCCAGGTTCAAGTCCACTTATCTGAAACTGCCAGAGTAGTAATTCTGGGTTGTATAAACAGAGGCATAGAATCAAGATTACACAAAGTATTAGTACCGCTTTATTAAATCCTAGGAAGACTATACCTGGAATACTGCAGCCAATTTTGGTCACCATATTACAAAAAAGATAGTAAGAGTTTGGAAAAAATTCAAAGAAGAGCAACTAAGATGATTAAAAGCCTGGAGACTAAAACATACAAAGAACAGTTGCAGGACTTAGGTTTGGCTAGTCTAAAGAAAAGAAGAAATAGGCGAGACATGATAGCAGTGTTCCAGTATCTGAGGGGCTGCCACAAGGCAGAGGGGGTCATATTATTCTCCAAAGCACCAGAAGGCAGAACAATGGTTGGGAACTGATCAAAGAGAGAAGCAACCTGGAATTAAGGAGAAACTTCCTGACAGTGAGGACAATTAACCAGTAGAACAGCTTGCCTCCAGAAATCGTGGGCGCTCCATCACTGGAGATTTTTAAGAAGAGGCTTGACAGTCACTTGTCTGAGATGGTATAGGTTCTCCTGCTTGAGCATGGGGCTGGACTAGAAGACCTCCAAGGTCCCTTTTTATTCTATTCTATTCTATTCTATTCCATTCTATTCTATTCTTCCTCTTGTACTTTAAAGCCATTCTTTATGACTGTGATCTGACTGTGTAAACATATTTAAGACAGTCTATGGGGACATTTGATTACTGTACATTTCCCATAAACTGAATTTGCTATCTTAGGGCTGAATTGTCACATGCTTTTTCCAGTGTAATTCTGCTGCACCATGGGCCTTTCTTCATCCTTCAAAATTGTACCATCCTTGATATCTGAATGCTCCTGCTGCTCCCACAGTGTTCATCTTATTATATTTCCAAAACAAAGTTAATAAATTGTTGCTCTCACATGAAGACTCTGTCCGTGCGTATGTGTGCTTGTGTGTTATTGCTGTTGAGGTAATAGCAGGTGCAGCACAGGAGATGTGTGGACAAAGAGCCAAGTGGATTTTATAGGGATAGGCTATAAAATGTAAAAATATATAAAATATAAATATTTTATTTTATATATATAAAATATATGAACGTATACTTTATAAGGGTAGGCTATAGAATCTTGCAAGTCTACTTGTGTCTTGTCTTCTTTCCTTCTTATATCTTGGTGTGTCAGGGAGAAGCCAAGTCTCTTCCTAACTCCTTTCCTAGGGCTTAAGGAAAGCTTCTACCTTTGTAAAGGCTTCTGAATATTCCCTTCAAGGCCATTCAAGGTTCTGTAAAGCCTGAGCAGTAGGCCGATATCAAGATGGTAGTTTTATGGCAAGGATATGCCCTAAAAAGTATTAGCCTTTCACCTCAGAGCCAGGGCAAGGAGAGTGTGTGGATGAGGCCTATATCCCAGAGCAGTTACACAAAAAGCAGGTAATTTCAAGATTTTAGTTATTCCAAGATTCTAGGATCTGCTGTATTGTTGGCTCAAGACAACAAAAATGCCATCAGCATATGGAAACTAACAGCAATTGCATGGACAGTTAATTAAAAGCATATGTAATAAGCCTGTTTAGATTAATGCATTAGCACTTATATCCGAAGCTGCAGTGACAAAATAGCAAACTGGATTATTTGAAGAATAAATTATCTCTTTCCAACTTTATTTCCCCCTTTTCTGTAATTTTTTGTCTCTTTTATCCCTGAATTTGGGCATAGACAACAAATGAGTGAGATTCAGTGACAGTTTTATTTGTGCATTTGTTGTAACAGCTGGTTGCAGGGGACAGTTTAAAGACAAAGAGCATGATTCTTTGTCTTTTTTACAAACACACACACACAAACTCTTCTTCATAACAAAGATTCTGTGTGCATGTAGCAAGTCTATATTCCATTTAAGTGCACAAGGAAGATAAGCCAGAAAAAATATTTATTTTTATTTTATTTTAGTTATTAAATTTATATGCCTCCCATCTCACTGTCAAGCAACTCTGAGCAGATTACAATCCCATAAATAACAGTATAAAACAATTACAAATTTAGAACATTAAAAGGGCATTGAAAGTTAAAACTTGCATTGAAAGTTAAAACATAAACTGACCATTGTATCCTATATTTACTCAATCTAGAAGAGGGAAAAAAAACAAACCCAAATTTGCAAAGTATAGGTAGTCCTCAACTGATGATCTCAACTGGGCCCAGAATTTCCTCTGCTACGTGAGGCACTTATTAAGTGACTTTTGCTCTGTTTTACAACCTTTCTTCACACACTGTTAAGTGAATCGCTGAAGTTGTTAAGTTAGTTTACATGGTTGCTAAGTGGATCTGGGTTCCCCATTGACTTTGCTTGTCAGAAGATCTTAAAAGGTGATCACATGACCCCGGGACACCGTAGCCGCCATAAATATGCCAAGCATCCGAATGTTGATCACATGACCATGGGGATGCTGCAACAGTCATAAGTGTGAAAAATAGTCGTAAGTCACTTTTTTCAGTGCCTTTGTAACTTTGCATGGTCACTAAACAAATGTTTGTAAGTCAAGGATAACCTATACTAGTTGTGATCTATAAAGCCCTTAATGTATTTTCTTTGCATATGGATACCTCCTCCAAACAACTTTGACTTGCTTATTAGATCTATCAGGGAGAAACTATTGCAAATCCATACTTCCAGGACCTTTGAAAGGCTGAGGCTGTTTTTCTGCTACACAGTGCCACATTGTGCATCAACGTCCCTTTAGAGTCAGACTAGCTTCCCCTTTAAAAAAAAAAGTTCTTAAAGGCCAAGCTATCTTTGAATGCCCTCATCTAAGGTGATGTGATGTTGCCATTTGTTTATTTTCTAATTGGGATGCAGTGCAAAGAAGATACATAGATAAAAGATGAATAGACAGACAGACAGAGAAAACCAGTGAAAGTTGACAGAACCTACCTCTGTAGCAAACCTTCCTGTATCACCTTTACTAAGTATATATCACTTTGTAAGAACAACTTATATGGTGGGCTATTTGGATAGAAAATAAAGTAACATCCCCGCATAATATCTCAAATTTGTTTAAACCTGAGAAAGAAAGAGATGTTCCAATTCTACTCTTTTTTTGTTTTCACTTAATTACGTAGCGCTGTTTGCCCTTCTTAAATAAACTTTCTTTCAGATTTAATTTTTTTTCACTGGCAGGTTTAATGACATTTCCTGCATTCATGCAACGTATTTACCTAGATTAATCTGATCAAAACATGATTTTGTTCGTTTTCTCTCAGCTGATTGCCTGGGAACCGGTACAAGAAGAAGATATGACTATGGTGACAGTACGGCCTAACTTCCAAGACAATATCCATGTTGGTTATATCTCAGGTCTCAAGAAATTCACAGAATATTTCACTTCAGTCCTGTGTTTCACTACTCCAGGCGATGGACCTCGCAGCCCACCACAGCTGGTGCGCACCCATGAGGACGGTACGGCCTTTCCCTTTGGAGCTGGGCAAGGCCCAGTTCTTGGATTCCTGTATGTGCATTATCTATGGGCCCACACTCTCCTTACACACTAGGCAGCATGTGTTAAAAACCTTCTTCCATTGCAGAAATCTGTTATTGCCTCAGTTGCCAGGTCTAGCTTTTCATTGCTAAAACGGCAATATTTTTCTGAAGGCCCTGATGCTCACTGCAATTAAATTTTCATCCATTCCCAAAGAGGTTTAATGTATTCCTCTGGAAAGTCAGGGACAATAGCTTACCCTTTTGAAGAATTAACAGAATGGTTGTTCTGTTGTAATTTTCTGGCTGAGGGATTCTTTGTTTGACTAGTTCCCGGTCCAGTGGGACATCTCAGCTTCAATGAGATCTTAGACACATCTTTGAAGGTCAGCTGGCAAGAACCCTTGGAAAAGAACGGCATCTTAACAGGTAAGTAGACATACTTCCCAGAGGCTCATCCTTGAGGATTGATTGATTGATTAAATTTATATGCCGTACATCTCACTGACCCGAGTAACTCTAGGCAGTTTACGGTAGACCAAAAGCATAGGTTTAAAACATTATAAGCATTAAATTAAGATTAGCAATAATTAAGTAAAAGGTTAAAATCAAGATCACAGATGGTACAGGAGTAGACTTTTGTCTCCATCAATCAACCACATCCAGCATAGCACATCCCTATAATTATGTTTTGAAAAACTTCTGCACAGGTGATTACTATATTTTGCAGGAATAGGTTATCATTAGTAAAAAATAATGAACTAGTTAGAAAGGTTACATTGGAAACTATACAGAGTTCAGCTCTGGGCCCTCCACATACAGTTTTTATGTCAATTCAGAATTGGCATCCCATCTGTCCCCAGAATTTTGTGGGCTTCTGAAGCACCCCTGTACCTGGGGTGTTTAACTTCTTGCATGGATTTGTGCAGGAGGGAATGCTGTAAGAAAAGTTCTGCATCATTAACACCTAAACTATTGGGTAGGTAATTGCCCTTTGCCAGAAGTTTTCACTTTGTTCACTCTTCTCTTGAAAACAAGGCGCCAGACTTTATTGAAATTGCTGAAGTAGATGTCAAACCATCATGCTGCCTTACCTACATTTTCATTTGGGTTAAACAGAAGAGATTTCCATTTTATTTTCTCTCCCCATGCCAAGAAACGTGAAGACACAAAGACAAGAGACAGGGCATTTGCTAGATCCTGATTTTTGTGGTTCCTCTCTCTCCACGTTTAGCATGGTAATAATAAGAACACATGAGATAGAATAAAAAAATATTTCTGAGGATCTAGAGGAAAAAATTAGTGTCTATAGGAAAATTTTCATCATAAATATTTTGATATCTGCTTCTCGGAAAAATCATGTGGCCTCTCTCCCTGCTTGTAATAAATAGATTTTAAAAGTTTTACTGAGTTATTTAGGTTTGTTCTGAGTGCATCCTGACTAGGAATATAAGATGTGTATGGTACTGCTATGTATTATATACATTGGGGTCTCTGATCTTTGACTGTAATAAACTTATTTGACTATATACATTGTGGGTTCTTTTAGGCTACCGAATCTCCTGGGAGGAATACAATCGCACAAACACGCGTGTTACACACTACCTTCCCAATGTCACCCTGGAGTATCGTGTTACTGGCCTCACTGCTTTGACCACCTACACTATTGAAGTGGCAGCCATGACATCCAAGGGACAAGGACAGGTTTCTTCCTCTACCATTTCTTCTGGAGTTCCCCCAGGTAAGCTTGATTTATTGGTCTTCCTGCAGCAATTAGTATCTTATCGCCAGGCTTAGTAGGGATATCTCGGTCTCTGCCCTTTAGCTCAGAGTGAAAATTCTACAAGAATACAATACAGGGAACAGTTCTTTGTTTACAACCAATGTATGGATGCATTTGACAGGAACTTATGATAGAAATTACCAGTGCTTTTTTTCTAAAAAAAAAAAAAAAAAGGTGCCAGAACTCACACATGTCATACAACCCGCTTTGCCTACCCTACAAGGTTCCATCCAAAAAAGGTGCTGGAACTCCGTTCTGGGTGTTCTATGAGAAAAAAAGCCCTGGAAATTACTAAAAAGATGGATGTACATACAGATGAATTACAAGCCCAATAATAAACAGAGAGAGAACCCGATCAATCCAGATATTTCAAGTTACAAGGAAAATTCCACTAGAAGATGATACCTAAACTAATCATTTAGGGGAAACTATAGTTACCGAAATTTTCCTGGTAGATTTTCAATGTTTATTTGTGAGGAAAGGGAATGTTTTGACAATGGTCAAGTTTATCTTTTTCTTGATTAAGGTGTTTGATTTCTTTTTCAGAAAAGGGAAGAGGTGATAACAGGAAAGATATCTCCTTCTCCCACCCTTTCCCCTCCCCTTCCTATATAAGTACAAGAACAAAAAAAAATTGTACTTTTCCTAGTACAAAAAAATTGGGATTTTTAAAAAATTCCTGGCAGTTATTCTGAACAGCAGTCCTATATCTGGTCTGTGCACTAGTGATACAAATCCTAGCATATTGCAAACTGCTAACCCGTCTTGTCTCAGAAGCTGTTGGTACCTGCTGTGAAAATTACTAAGACTAATATCTTCTTCTCCAAGAGAGTGAACCTGCAGATCTGATATGAGTGCTCAAAACTGATTCAGCTATTTTCAGGAAATGTCCCTAATTGAACTCTTAACCAGGCCTTTGAGGAGCATCAGTTTGGAACACTAAGCAAATAGAAATCATGATATATCCTGGACCTTCAAAGCTACAAATGCAACTTCAAGGCATGTTAAAGGAAGACATGATTACAAATAATTACAGTGAATCTTAATAAGGGGACAATGTTTTTTCGGTATATTTCTGCTATATTGCATAACAAAATTTAGCCAGGAACAAATCTAGTCTAAGGTATGTTCTAATAAGGTATGTTCTTCCCTTAATGAAGAATGAATCTCTCGCTTGCCTTTTCTTACTTTCCTGTGCAGCTTTGAAGGTGCATTTTCTGAACTACATAATATTCCATATCTGGTTTAATTCAGTTTGCCTGACTGAACTTTGACTTTGTCAATCTCAATTAATTTCAATATTTGTTCTTTTCAGTAATTCAATTAATTCGAGTGTGTGTGCTTCATTCATTCAGGCACATAACATGCCCGTCACAATCTGACAACAAGCAACTTCTCTCAAGCTTCAGCTTTATTAAATTAACAAACATCAGAGTAATGAATATGAAATTACAGACAACACTGTCAGCTCCCCTGGTGACCTTCATGAGATGGAAGTTTTGAATCTGATGAATATTCAAATCACTTTAGATATTTGTTTGAAGCCTGTGCCAATATTAAGCCTGCGCCAAGTAGGTAGTGATCCTGCTTAATGCATCATTAATAAGCCACCATGTCAGTCACCAAAAGCTGTTTGTTGTTTATTCCTGTTTCTTGATTGTGGGCTGAGGTTGGGGTCATTTAGATTATCTGCTGCTGTTGGCAGGTCTTGATGCTTGGGGAACAAACAACACACAATATGCATGTCGTGAAACTCATAGACTTTAGAATGGTACAAAAGCTTTAACAAGTTGTAGACAGATGCTGCTTTCATGCTCTCATGCATTCCAAAGCATCTCTTCCAAACTGAATCTAAAGCATTGCACAGCTCTAATAAACACTCTTTTCTGTGGAATTGCAGGCAGAAGAGAAGGATGCTTAATCCTTCCAGCTGGATCAGACCAAAGGCCTATTTACTCCTGGACTCATTTTATGCAGTGACTAGCCAGGTGCTTGGTGGAAACACACAAGCAAGAGATGAGGGCAATGACAACCTCTTAGTATTTGTTAGGGAAATGCTGGATGATTTTAGTCCTGGAGAAATTGTACTGCTTGCTTTCTTGACTTAACTCTTTGAGAACCTTCTCCTTCCCTAACAGGAATCAGTGCTTCTTCTCTGATGCTTCTTGGCTCAGAGCTGCCTCTTCTTGAACCTACTTATTCTTAGAAAATGGTTTTGTTGCCCATGAAGCATGAGCGCAAATGTAATCAGATTCTATGAAATTATATAAAGTGGTGCATTTTAGGGCATGGAGACTACATGCCAAAAGCTATTTGTATGACTTCTCAACTTTCCTAACATATTAGGGCACCTTTAGTGAAGCAGTGATTTCCCTGAAGTCCAAGGTTTTTAGGAAACAAGGTTCTATAGCCTCTTCACAATTTATTTATTTTTATTTTACTGTAAGAATTTGCATGCCACCTGACTCACCAGACTCTAGACTGAGAATTTGCCTTGTTTGAGTTTCTGTAGCTAAGACCTCAACAAATATTGTAATAAGAGGTTAATCTTTAGATGTGGCAGGTATTTCGCCGAGCCCTGAAGGCCCATCTATTCCGTGCGGCCGGCCTGGCATAGTTTGGATTGTGTTTCAGTGGGGGGGTTTGTATGGGTGTGTTTTTAGAACAGGCCTATTATTCAATTCGATTTTAAAACAGAAACTATTTATTTATTTGTGGTTTTTAGTATCGCCTGTTCACCGCCCTGAGTCCCGCAAGGGAGATAGGGCGGTATATAAATTTAATAAATAAATTTAATAAATAAATAAATAAATAAATTTACACAGGAACTACACTGTTTCTCTACCCTACCCCACCTTGCCCACTTAAGCAAAACCATATTTGATTATCAGTTACTGGTGGCGATTTCATCTTTACTTTATTGTGTATGGCATATGTAACTTGCTGGTTCTATGTTGATTGTCCTCTTTTTACCTTAAAAATTCTTTTTGAAAAGTATGATCCAGTCTTCCCTCTTACAGCTCTTACCAAATTGCATGTTATGTTTACTCCTGTTACATCTTTTAGATTGGTTCAGTCCTCCTCATCCTAGTATCTTTGAAACGGCCTTCAATTTCCCTCAGCCAGGTTGATAGGAAAGACTACGCTGGCTAATGATGACAGAAGTAGAAAGTCATCCATTTGGCGGGCACCAGAATGGAGAAGACATGATTAGTAAAGTAAATTGTCAGTACAAACATTGGGCAAGATGCTATTTTCATTCTGTATATAGTATAGCTGAGTCAGTGGGTATTGTCTATGCTAGAGCTAATGAGTTCCACGTTCTCTGCTTTCTCTTGTTCACAGAGCTCCCCGGGGCCCCATCTAACCTGGGCATCTCCAACATTGGTCCCCGTTCAGTCACACTTCAGTTTCGCCCTGGTTATGATGGGAAGACTTCCATTTCCAGGTGGCAGGTAGAGGTTCAGGTAAGGCAGATCTCATTTGCTGGTAAAAAAAAAAAAAAAGCAGCAGACCTTTTGTCCTTTTTATAGCTCTTCATCAAGTTGTTGTGTGAAAGTTAAAGAAGCTTACCTCTCATTGTACTTCATGTAAATATTTTGACTTGAAATCTATAGTCTCAAATCAAAATAAGACTCAGGCATACAGAGGGAGGGAAGGAGGGAGGGAAACTTGCATTATTTTATTCTGCTTAATTTCAGAAAACTTAGTCTGACCAAGTGTCACAGTGGCTGAGGGCAAGAATAAAGGGGAAAGCATACTATTTGGGAATTAGAATACCTAGGAAACAGTAAATAGAGATAGCAGATCATAGGAGCAATAGACAGAATGGTATTTGATACATAATTATACTACATGGCCTCAAAATTTCATATTTATATAGGAATCTCATCCAGTTACCTCTAAAAATGGCCACTTCTAAAAATATTTCTAGCAGAAAATCTTTGATTTGTTCTGTTCTTTTGTGTGTGCACGTATTAAAGTATTCCATGTGTATGCATTTTTTCTGCTTAAAGACCAACAACATAATAACAGAATAATAACAAATAATGAGATGTCTATAATTTATTCTAACAAGTAAATTATTGTGATTTTTAAAAAAAAAATTGTCCAAATATTTATTTTACTGTTAGGTAAAAGTAGTCTTGCTTTTCATTCCCTGAGAATGCCAAATGTTACCATGTTAGTTAACTCAATTTTTGCCTGTTCAGTAGGGAAGCAGGCGATAGCGTACTTTCCCAATTTTACTCTGCCTTGCTTGCTTTCAGATGGGTCAGACTGGAGAGACTGAAGAGTGGATGCTCATCCACCAGCTTTCTAATGAACCAGATGCTCGGTCCATGGAGGTGCCCAATCTCAACCCCTACACATATTATAGGTAAGTCAAGTGAAGAAGGGAAAGGCTAAAAATATTGTCACCCGTCACATCAACACATTGATGTTGACACATCAATACATGATTTGCAGCAATATATTATTGAAATGCATTCTTTGCCCATAGTTTCATTAGAATTTTTATTTCTAACAAATTAAGGAAGAAGACTTTCAAACAATATGATCAAAGTGTTGGGAATTATTCTACTTGCAACCTAATTTTTCAGGACCTTGTTATATTAACATTATTGTATGTATTTTCTTCTGTTAATTAGTTTAACGTAATACAATTATTAAAAACAACAACTAGATGGTATGAGGAGGAAAAGATGCTGATCCCAATCAAGCTGTATTGTTGTGTTACTGAAGAAAGGCAGGGGTGATGGTGGCAGTGGAGGCAGCAGCAATGATGGTGATGAGGACAGTGATGATGAAAATATAAAGAGAAAGAGAAAGATCAAAATCAATCTTTTCATAAAACCCAGTCAGAGCTGAGCAAAAAAACTCCAAAATAGGGCACAAAACAAAAACCTTTCTGATGCTTCCTGAAATTCATCTTCAAACCTTGATACCACCAAACGTGGAGGTTCCATAAGAAAATCTTGGCTAACATCTGTTGATAGACCTATTCTCCATTAAAGTTTTCTTGGAAAACCCAACACACAGTTTAGAATATGTAGCCCAATCCCTACATAATATCCTTTGCTTCAGATATGGGCTTTATGGAGACATTACACAAATATGTAGGGCGCTACATGTTTGTATGTTCTTGCATATCACACATTATGGCTCCTCCACTGGTATTAAGAGGAAAGAGGACCAGGGGGAGAAACAAAGCAAAAGGTCACCAAAGGCATGTGAATGTGGAAGTTCAAAATCCTGGAGGATTTTTCTGTGCTCTTATCCCTTCCAACATTGATCCATTTTCTCTCTGGTGCCAGTTTCCGAATGCGACAAGTGAACATTGTGGGGACAAGTCCACCCAGCCCGTCTTCCCGCAGGATCCAGACATTGCAGGCTCCACCTGATGTATCTCCTGCCAATATTACAGTACGAACAGCCAGTGAAACCAGCCTCTGGCTACGATGGATGGTGAGAACTGTAGCCTAAAAAGGCCCCATAATTGTTTCTGGAGGGGAAAAAAACAGAGGATAACAAAGAAGGGGAGAAGGGGCAAATCCCAGCAGGCTGACCACCTACCATTATTTATCTAGTGAGCCAGACAAACTTCAATAGTTTGTTTCATTAATAAATTTGAATTCAAGATTAGTAGAGAGACTCGTATAAAGCTAAGAATACTAGTTGAGGCTGGATCAGAAACTGGGGATATCGCTACAGTGAAATATTGAAATACCCGCTTCACCCTTTCTGTAATTTATCATTCTAGGGTAAAGTGGAGGGGTCTAGAAGTACAGTGAAGGAAAGGGATGGGATATGAAAAGATGGGGCTGTAAGCAAGGGAAGAACTAAGGGGTCGGAAATGAAATACAGATCAAAGTTATAATGAGAATTGAAAGGGCATCATTGGCGGTCCTTCCTTCACTCCCATGCTAGGTAGTTTTGGAAGTGGAAGACTTGAGCTGGGGCAGCAGCTGAATAAGGCTCTATTTTGAATCAATCCATATACATTTATCATGGTTCCTTTTCCCTCAGCCAAGATTATAATTTTCTCATCTCATAAAATTCTTGCCGCCCCTAACAGGAACTTTAAGACCAGCCCTTATCTAAGGCTGAGAGGCTACCAAATTAAATTCAGTGAAAGAATTAAGGTTTCAACTATGTCAGAAGTCTGATCTGGTGACAGTGTTATGGAAATGGCTAGTAATCCACTTTTGCCAAAATGTTTTTGAACTTCCCAGTCCAGCTAGGAAGATCTCACATCTAAATACAAGTACTAATCAGGATGAACTCTTCTTGGCTCTTCTTGGAGTGATATGATCAGACAGGTGCTACCATCTTCTATATGGGAAGTTCTTAAATCCAAATCAGAAACTTTCAGTAATATCTGTATTGGAGGTAGAAAACTTCAGAAGATAGATGGCTTTCTACTAAGCATAACAATTAGAATTCAAAACCTTAGGGGTTCAAATTGATTCCAAGCTTCATGGTTCAAATTGATTGTTGTTCCATATGCATTCCTTATGAGACACAGGGCTTTTTTTCTCATAGAATGCCCAGAACGGAGTTCTGGCACCTTTTTGGGATGGAACCTTATAGGGTAGGCAAGGCGGGTTGTATGATGTGTGTGAGTTCCGGCACCTGTTTTTTTTTTTAGAAAAAAAGCACTGATGAGACATAAAAAAAAGGAAATTCAACTATTTTTCTCTTTTTTTGCGTGTCTTCTGATTTTTTTTTTAAATGAATTGGCTGGAAGGCCATTTTCTATATTTATCATTTTAGTTGAAGAAAGGTACAAGGTAACTTTAAATAATAAAATTTGGCCTTATGTACATAAATCTGCAGCTTCTAAAGTAGGCTTTGAAACTGTACCTGTTTTACAAGGGCTAGGATCTCTTCAGTTGAGTAGGGAAGATGTTATCCTGTTTCATGTAGCCATTCTAGAGAAGAACAGAATGCCGGCCAATAGTAAAGGGCCATCTCTTTTCTCAGCCACTGCCAGAGAGTGAATACAATGGCAGCCCTGAGTCGGTGGGCTACCGGTTGCGCTACTCACGTCTTGATGGGCGCAGCCACACCCTGACCAACACCATCCATGACCGTGTGGAGCGTGAGTTCACCATTGAGGACCTGGAGGAATGGACCGAGTACCGTATACAGGTGCAGGCCTTCAATGCTGTCGGGCCAGGGCCATGGAGTCAGACTGTAGTGGGGCGAACCCGGGAGTCAGGTATTCTTTTCCATTGTAGCTGTTTCTGGTAGGCTTATCACTGCCTGCTTGGAATTTAACATGTGAGGTTCTGTACAATGTAGCAATGTGTATTCTTGTCCGTATTCTTTGTGTATATAGTGCCTTCATCCGGACCCACCAATATTTCAGCACTAGCTACCACTTCCACCTCTATGCTAGTGCGGTGGAATGATATCCCTGAAGCTGATCGAAATGGATTTATCCTAGGCTACAAGGTGAGTATCAGTACTACTGATCTGGCAGTCCTTTCCCTACTTGCTTTCTCTTGTGCCATACTGCAAAGACCTGACCTAAAGCATTGTACTCCTCCACACCTAATCGCTTTGTCTTTCTTCCAGTTTGATCCTGAATCTCTGCCTGCAGATTCTAGCATTGTAGAAGATTCCTTAGTGAACTTTTTTTTTCAGTCTTCTTTCTTGCTTCTTTCCCCTCCTCATTTCCCCTTCTTCAAATCCATTTTATGCCTTATCCTTATCCAGGGGTCTCATCCTATTTACAGGAACAAATGCCAATTAATAACACTCTCCTGATTAGCACTGGTGAACTGGGAAAAGAGGACTGCTTGCCTTTATTTTAATCATTGGCACATCTTCTCTTCTAGATCATGTATAAGGAGAAAGATTCAGATTCAAGGGCCCAGTTCTGGTTGGTGGAAGGCAATGCCTCTCGGAGTGCCCAGCTCATAGGCTTGGGAAAATACGTCCTTTATGAGATCCGGGTGCTTGCTTTCACCCGCATTGGTGATGGAGTGCCCAGCAATCCGCCTATACTTGAGCGCACACTGGATGATGGTAGGTGTCCCGTAACTCTCTGTCTCTTAGCTATACTTACTTTTAAAAAAGATTAGCAACCAAACACCAATACCATCTTTGTTTGAAATGTTCAATAATTCAAGCCCTAATCATGACCTTTCTCTAAATTATTAAACATAAAATAAACTTCCTTTTGCATCCTTCCTTCATTTCTCAGTGATCTGCCGAAGAGTACAATTTTCCTTCACTTCTCTGCATGTCCTCCATTAACTTCATTCCACATCCTGGTAATATTAACAGGGTTCGATCCCACATAGCTTCTTGCGATTCTTCAACCCAATATTTGTTGGCACAGAGCTTAGACTTCAGAGCATTGTCACTATCATTATAAACTCTTGATCCTGCGTTATAAGCAACTCCCCATCCCCACAACCTGTGTCGTGGCCCCCTAAAAAGCAAGATTGATCTTAGTGTCGGGTAGCATCGATTGTATATATCTGTGTTTGTATGTGCATTCCAGTCACTGCCTGTAGGAATAAATAAACATATACCTTAATCACTGAACCTAAATCATCCATTTTCCTTTGTCTTGACGTATTCCAGTGCCTGGGCCACCAGTAGGCATTCTCTTCCCTGAAGTGAGGATAACTTCTGTACGGCTAATCTGGCAGCCTCCTTCTGCTCCCAATGGTATCATTCTAGGTAAGACACAGTAGTCCAGAGTGAGCCAACTTCTTGAGCTTCTCCCATTCATCTTTCTGAAGAGCAAGCAGGGCCACAGAAAAATTGTAGCAGGGTAAAAAAGGGAACTCATATCAAATGTCTGGGCCTTGTTTTGTGATTACTCCCAAGGTTGCAATCTAGTTCGACTGGGAGAACTATTTCTTTAGCTGCCCCAAAGACAGCTGTGTGGGTAGTGTCCCTTTTTGCCAAAGGTTTTCTTACCCAGTGCTATTCTGACTCTGTTGCAGCATACCAGATCACTCACCGCCTCAACACTACAACTGCCAATTCAGCCAACGTAGAAGTCCTCAGCCCCAGCGCACGCCAGTTTACTGCTACCAACCTCAGACCGGAGTCCACCTATCTCTTCCGTATCACAGCGCAGACCCGAAAGGGCTGGGGTGAAGCTGCAGAGGCCTTAGTAGTCACTACGGAAAAGAGAGGTAATTAGGGTGGGACGTAAGACAATCCAGAATTACATTGTGACAGAAGTTAGGTATGTTTGCCCAGGGAGTATATTTTTGTTCCTAAGGATGTTACAGGTGCACTCTCAGGTTTGATTTAGGTCATTCACTCAATACACTCACAGCCCTGGTCAACAGTCACATTCAAATCACTTTCAACTGAACACTGAGATACAACCAGTTCTTTGGAATACATGGAGAACCAGTGATTTAAAGTAATTGCAAAACTTTATTGGTTATAATGTACATTTTCTCTCTCTCTCTCTCTCTCTCTCTCTCTCTCTCACACACACACACACACACACACACACACACACACACACACACACAGAGTATCCTTCTCAATTAGGCTGTCAGCTACTAGTCAGAGGGACAAAAGCTGCCAAGTCTGGATTCAAAGAAGACTTAAAGACTGGGCAGGCTTCAGGACCCCTTTTGTCTCCAAAAGTCCTCACTTTGTTGATTCACAAGATTGGCAGCTATTCTTGCTTTTTTGAATACGTTTGGTAGCTGTTGATGGGACTTGGGGAGGGTTTTCAGATGTGCTCAGGCTCAATTTCTTTTGTCTGGTTTGGGTAACCTTTCCCCCCCCCCTTTGTTTCCTTGACAACTGGGTTCCTTCTTATCTATCTCTTGAAGGGATCTTTCAAAGAAGATTCCTAGCTTTTTCCAGCCTGCTTACAAGCTTTTTTTTTTAATCTTTAGTTGTGGTAGCTTCAGCCTAGTCTCACAAGAACTGTATTAAAAATTATCTTAAGGCAGTGTGTATATCTGAGTAGCAAACTGGTATTGCAATTAATCCTTTCATTTTTTTCAGCCATTTTTGTACTCAACATTTCCTTTCCTTATAACACTCCTCACAAATCACTATTCGTTTTCTTCAAAGAGAGAAACGCTATGTGTAACTTCCATTTCAGGGCATGGAGGACACCTTGAGAAAAGGGAGGTACTGTTGAATGGATAAATACCTCAAGGAAGAAAGGAAGGCATAGCTCAAGATGAAAAGAGAAAGAAGCAGCTTTTCAATTTTCCCCTCGCTTTAAAGTTTCAGCCTTTGGAGGCTATCTTTAATCAGTCAAGACTGACGTCCAGTTGAGCTTTAAGGCTTCAATTTAATTCTGCAAAATGTTTCTGCTTTTAAGGATTTCCTGACAAATTAGACGGTTAGCCTTCAGGAGATCTACATGAATGGCTGTCTCTTAAGTAGCAGATGCAGGCAAACGTTAGTATTCCATAAGGGAGCAAACCAAAATTCTCTGGGTTCAGCACCAATAACAATCTATTAAGCAGATGATAAAAAAAATACGAATGGATAATTTGTATATTACAAATCAGATTTTTATTCAGGCATTTGCAGACAACTGCATTGTGTAATAAATTATCAATTATTGCTGAAAACCCATCAGTCTTCTAATAACGAGCCCGTTTCAAGAAAAACTCATTTTCTTTCAGACTACAGGAAAAATATGCCCCAGGTGCTCATCTTTTAAGAATTGTAGTAGGAGTAATAGAATATCAATGTTCATATATTAAAGGCATTCATTTAATAGGCCTGTAGTATAGTTAATGATGATTGAAGTGATCACCATTTCAATACGTTTTGTGACTTCCTCTATATTAATTTAGTTAATATTTTCTCATTCTTCTTACTTAAGCAGTTGAACGAACTCTGCTGCACCTTATAAGCAAAGGAATCTTTGTAAAACTCATTATGATTTTTAAAAAAAACAAAAAACCCACCCTAAGTATTACAGAGAGTCCTCAACTTACAACTATTCATTTAGTCACAGTTCGAAACTATAATGGCACAGGAAAAAAAGGGACTTCAGACTGTTTTTCATGCTTATGACCATTGCAGCATTCCCACAGTCACATGATCAAAATTTGGATGCTTGGCAACTGGCTGCTATTTATGACGGTTGTCGTGTGATCCCCTTTTGCGACCTTCTGACACGCGAAGTCAATGGGGAAGCCAGATTCACTTAACCGTGTTACTAACTTAACAACTGCAGTGATTCACCTAACAAGTGTGGCAAGAAAGGTTGTAAAATGAGGCAAAACTCACTTAACAACTATTTTGCTTAGCAATGGAAATTTTGGGCTCAATTGTGATCGTAAGTCGAGGACTACTTACATTACTTTTAGGGGACTGGAGGCTAAAACATATAAGGAACGCCTGCTGGAATTGGGTATGTCTAGTTTAATGAAGAGAAGGACAAGGGGGGACATGATAGCAGTGTTCCAATATCTCAGGGGCTGCCACAAAGAAGAGGGAGTCAAGCTATTCTCCAAAGGACCTGAAGGCAGGACAAGAAGCAACGGATGGAAACTAATCAAGGAGAGAAGCAACCTAGAACTAAGGAGAAACTTCTTGACAGTCAGAACAATTAACCAGTGGAACAACCTGCCTCCAGAAGCGGTGAATGCTCCAACACTGGAAGTTTTTAAGAAGAGACACCGAAATGGTATAGGGTTTCCTGCTTGAGCAGGGGGTTGGACTAGATTACCTCCAAGGCACCCTTCCAACTTTATTATTGTTGTTGTTGTTATTATTATTATTACTCCCTGCCTTGTCAAACTGTGTCAACTATGGTCTGCTTTCAGAATGGTCATCCAGACCCAACTTTGTTTTCATAGAGTTAATATACTGTGCTGATTGCTTTTGTTTTTATTTTAAAAAAAGGTATGGGAAGCATCACTATAAACTGTATGAATGGATGAACCATCTGTGATCGCACGGAAGCAACATTTTAAAATGGAAAGCAAACTAGGGTTCGTAGGAAACCAGTGAACATGCTAGACATCGAAATCAATTGGATAATGTTCGGGATGGAGTACAGGAGGAAAAGATACATGTTTAGATTTATAAAGTGTTAGGGTTCCTGTGCATATTGTATCATCCTGAAAATAATCTCTGTCCTACCCCTATCATTGCCATATCTCTTTTTCATCCCATGAAAAACTAGCTTTCAGTGATCCGTCTCTGTCTTATCTCCCAGACCGCCCCCAACCACCCAGCAAGCCCATTGTGTTGCAGGAAGATGTCAAGGCCAGGAATGTGCTATTGTCCTGGGAGCCAGGCAGTGATGGGCTGTCACCTGTCCGATACTATACTGTGCAAACACGGGAACTCCCTGACGGGAAATGGATGTTGCATTCTGCATCTGTGAAGCACAACACCACGTCCTTCATTGTGAACAGGTGAGGCAGGAACTGATGCGATGCAAGAGACTTTTATTTAGAAGGGGAAACCATTGTTCAGGGTTCCAGTTTGTCAGGCTGTTCAGCAGCCAGACAATCCAAGATTGTGTACAGGTAGTTTGTAACTAACCACCATTTGTTTACCAACCGTTCAAAGTTACGATGGCACTGAAAAAAAGTGACTTATATCACTGTTAAGTCCTCACACTTAACAACTATCTCAGCATTCCCCAGAGTTGTGTGATCAGAATTCAAGCCCTTGGCAACCAGCCTGATGATTGCAGGGCCACATAAGCAGACTCTGATAAGCAGAGTCAGTTGAGGAAGCCGTATTTGCTTAATGACCATTTGATTCATTTAGCAACTGCAGTGATTTGCTTAACAGCTGTGGCCAAAAAGGTTGTAAAATCAGGGTTGGGACTCACTTAATCACCTTGCTTAGCAACAAACATTCTGGTCCTAATTGTGGGCGTAAGTCAAGGATCCCATTTAAAGGAAAATGCTTTTCCAAAGACCTTAGGAAGGATTTGCTAGTCTTGGAACAACAAAATTTAGAATGTAGGTCTTAGTGAGCAAAAGACAGCAACACACATGTGGGAATTTGTTCTTCCAAAACCAAAAACCGATACCTTGCATTCTATTTGCAGATTGAAGCCATTCACCACCTACAAATTCCGTGTTAAGGCAACCAATGACATTGGTGACAGTGAATACAGTGAAGAGTCAGAATCACTCACCACACTACAGGCTGGTATGCAAATGTGCAAGGTCATGAATTACTACCCAGTGTAAAACCTTTTTCCTCCATCTCTTGAGAAAAGAGATGATCATGCAATGTAAAAAGGTAATATGAATTCAGTGAGTGCACTGTTGCATTCTTAGGAACCTTGATTATCTTTCACCTAGACTGTCTGAAAAGATCTCATCTTCAAAAGGTACTAGCTCTAAAACTAGACAAAAGAAACAAAACAAAATCAGGTCAAAAGAAGAATAAAGATGGGGGGGTTGCCTCTTCTCTACTATCTGGTTTCCCATTTGTATAATAACCCATCTCACATCTAACCCTATTCAGATCCATTGCTATATTTCCCCTGTTGTAGATTTATCTCTTATGTTTTATTGGTAATGGCCTTGTTTATGTTAAAGTACAAAAGAAGAAGCCATAGATAAAGCTGGCTATTGTGCGAGGCAAACTTTGTGCTGTGACAAATTGATACATCTGGGACTCAGTTTAGACAATAGTGTTAGGCACAATTAAGACAAGCAATAGAGTTATAATAGAAACTGAAAATAGAAAATATAATGGAGTAAAATCTATAGAGAAACTAATGAAAAGAATGGTAAGCAGAAGAAACAAGAGTTCCTTAACAAATTAAGACAGCATATGGTAGATGAGATTTTTAAAAAGGCCAAGATAAACCTGTTACAATTGGCTCTATTATTTCAGATTAGTGAAGTATTCCACCAGAAAATCAACTTATTTTCTATTATGGTATCCTCCAATCTGTAAGGAAATTGTAATCACACTTGATCTTCATTTCCAAAAAGAAGTCATTTAAACTTCTGTGAAAGATGATGACTTCATAGCTTTCACTTCCTGGTGCTCTTTTCATCACAGAAGAGTTTGAGTATTTGACTTGTATTTCTTCTTTTCCTCAGCCCCAGAGGAAGCTCCCACGATTTTGTCAGTGACACCACACACCACCACATCCGTGTTGATCCGCTGGCAGGTAGAGCAGCTTATTCTTTCATTCATTTCTGCATTTTAACTCTGAATAAAAGAATCTGAATGTTCAAGGATTCCCACATTTTAAAGAAATGTTTTTCTTCCTTATAATATACTGTATGATCTTTGATATAGTACAGTGGTCTAAGTTTGTTTTCCAGAGGGAAGGAGTTCCAGTTATACAATCTTATACAAGTAAATCTGAACAAAGATAGCAGGATGATAACTTATTTTGAATAAACAGAATAATAGTTCCTCATTTACTTGCACTTAACTTTATTATTAAAGCTGATAACTGATACAAAGAAAGATTCTGTGTTCACAAGGTAGCTGACTTTGCTATTGAAACACAGGACATCATAAATTGATCTTGTGCCCCAGGATTTATGGAAAAGGATGATCCTCTCTGCAGTGTAAAGAGAACTCTAGTTGGTATGCATATAGTGGAGGAGGGCAGAGAACCAGTAACATAAAGGCATTTGGGGTGGAATTATGAAAAACAACTTGTGGAATGTTGAGATCAGGAGAAAGCTGGAGGGATCCAAAATGGATAGTGGGACTACTTCAACCCACTAATCCTCAGTTTTGGGGCATCTTCTGCCTATATCCCTGGATTCCATCCTGCTAGCAGGAACAGCATCAAAGTCCAAAACCGTGGTATCCCTCAGAATTGTCACATTTGGAGATATTGCCGTGGGTACTCTGTGCTTCCAAGCATCACTTTTGCATTCACTGTGTCTTCTTATGCAGGCCCCATCTGAGGACAAAATCAATGGCATCTTGCTAGGCTTCCGCATCCGATACCGGGAGCTGCCATATGAAGGGGTACGAGGCTTTATTGCCCGTAGCATGGGCAGTCCCAATGCCAGATGGACAGAGTTGACCCGTAAGTCTGCAGAGGGAGAATGTATGAATTAAAGACGATCAGAATGTAGTTCACTCACCAGACTTCTGGAAAAAGGCTGTACTGATTGCCTTTAAATGAGTTTGCAATATCATTCCCAAGCAAGCTGTTCATAAGACCTGGTCCTAAGGATTGCACAAAATGCTTCCCACAGTGATATGGCTTCTATTCAGTACAGTACAATTCCTCCTATGCTAATAAATTCAGAAACTGTCCTAGAGCAATACATGATTGAACTCCAGCAAAAAGCCAGTATATGCATCAAAAATCCAAAACAGCACTGTCCAGGATTCCTCTTTCTAATTAATCAGTCTGAAACAATCTCTTTTTCAAGAAATATTAAAGTCACATCATAAAACACTACTTTGAAAATTGGGAAGCCTATTCTCCCAGGTTCACATGCAGTATGTAATAATGTATGTATCATACTGGTTAACAAGATAGCTGTGTAAAAACTGCAAGGCATTACAGATAAATCATTCCAGTGACTTACTAATGAAAATATACCCAGGCCCACAATTACAAACTTACAAAAATGCACCAGCAGAGACATCCAGCATAAAAACTTTCCCTGAAGGGAGTATCTGAAGCAGTTGTTTATGGCCTTTGGTTGCAGCAAACCACGGCTGTAATTTGGTCCTCATGGGGTTGCAAGCTTTTTTTTGTGTCAGTGTGTCAGTCCTTAGCAGCTTCAAGGTCTTGTTTGCCAGAAGAGGCTTTTATGGGGTACAGAATGATGGGACATATATATCCAATCTATCCCAATGTCTGTAATAGATTCTGGGAAATTTTGTTTGTCCTTTGAAACGTTGATTGTCTTGCCCTCTCTAGCTATTTGTCACCTTTCTCTCTCCCCCCCCCACTGTTCATGAGACCCCCCCCCTTAACATCCTTCGCTTGGACTGAGAATTTTTCCCTGTCCTGCTTTCTTGCACAGTGATGGTGTTGCTTAGTTTAGCTTGTGTCGTCCAGATGTTTCTTTCCATGTAGCTAACTGCACTGCTTTCCCCTTCTGACCACCTGCCATCCCACAGCAACATATGCCATGAGGAACCTGAGCGAGGCCTTCCTGACACAGTACGAGCTGGACAGTAAGTGGCCGCTCCCTCCTTTGTCTGTACTCCTGTCTCTGCTTGTGTCTTTGGGCTCATGGGCATTAAGCAACCCTGATTTGCTCACAACGGGATTGTTGGGGACGATGCCAGATTGCAATTAGCATGTCTGGAAGGAAAGATGCCATAAACTAGGGCTGCCTTTCTTTAAAGGTAGTGATAGTAGGTGTGGTTTACAATTATCCTATTGTATAATACAACTATTGTCCCTCTCTTGCCAAATCCCAAAATTAGTCAGGCTGATTTGTGCAGGTTTTTTCTGAGTACACTACAAGAAATAACCATAACAGAACCCATTTTGAGAACTCCGTTCAAGTAACGGAACAAGTGTAGTCCACACTGATCAATAGCTTAAAATAGCATATCCGGGAAAGTGGATTTCCATTTCACATACCTGGCTGTATCATAATTGCAGTAGAATGAAAATGGAGAAATAATAGAAGAGGAGAGCAACATCCTCTTTGGGGTATTGAAAAAAGAGATGAGGAAATGAGGTCCAGGAATTGTGGAAATGAAAGGGAGGTGATAGGAAGCGCCCTTAAACAATTTCAGTTCTATTCCCCTTGTTTAAAATAGCATCTTTACTCACAACTATAATTAAGACCTTTTTTTTTTCCTTTAAAGTTCACATATTAGAAACCATGCAATAAACCAGAGATCTTTCTTCTTGCTTTGTTTGGTGTTTGCTTTCTCTTTTTGGTCAGAAACAATATTCTGCCTCAATTTTCCAATCTAAAAAAATTGGACAGAAAATAGGACACGCCACTGTAGCCAGGTTCTCGAGCAAGGAATAGTGGGAGGAAAATCAGAGGATGCTAACCAGAAAGTATGTGCTGCTGCTGTGGAGGCAGCCCAAATGAGCACTCCTCCCTGCTCCTAAACGATCATTGATTTTCTCCATCTTTGCAGATCTGAACAAACACCGTCGCTACGAGATCCGCATGAGCGTCTATAATGCTGTGGGTGAAGGCCCCACCAGTTCCCCCCAAGAGGTCTTTGTCGGTGAAGCTGGTAAGCTGAGCATCTGCTTTATAGGAGTCTTTGTACTTTGGGTCTCTGTGTCATGTATTTACTTGCCCATCTGAAGTATGTAGGATTAGCTCAGGGTTAAATCATAGAGTTTTTGGATAGGGTTAGCCGTGGTGGTGCAATGGTTAGAATGCAGTATTGCAGGCTAATTCATTGCTCACTTCCAGGAGTTCGATTCTGACCGACTCAAGATTGAACTCAGCCTTCCATCCTTCTGAGGTCAGTAAAATAAGGACTCAGATTGTTGGGAGCCATATGCTTAATCTGTAAACTGCTTAGAGAGGGCTGTAAAGCACTGTTAAGTGGTATATAAGTCTAAGTGCTATTGTTATCGCTATCTGGGTTAGCTGTTGAGAAAACCATTGGAATCAACCAGTAATAAGCAAAAGATCCATTCTTTCGTCAATAAAGACAACGGTGTCAGGAGGACACCAGCAGGCCTGGATCCCAAAAAAAGCAAGTCCATGGTCAAAGCATGGCATTTTTATGAGGCATGTATTGGTTTTTCAGTCTAGTGCAGGGGTAGGCAACCTTGGCTCTTTTATGACTCGTGGACTTCAACTCCCAGAATTCCTGAACCAGCATGGCTGGCTCAGGAATTCTGGGAGTTGAAGTCCACGAGTCATAAAAGAGCCAAGGTTGCCTACCCCTGGTCTAGTGCATTCCTGACTTATATTCTCTTTGTTTTGTTCAGTCCCTACAGCTGCACCACAGAATGTAGTTATCCAAACCATCACGGCTACCCAACTTGACATTACTTGGGAGCCACCACCTCCTGAGACACAGAACGGAGACATCCAAGGCTACAAGGTACCAATAAAGATTATTTGTAGCTCAGGGTTGAAATGAGATGTCCTTGGTGCTCTTTGAGCTTGGTTGTTTTCTTGCAGATGTTTTATTACCCAAACTAAATAACATCATCAGTGCACTTCAATCCAAGAAAACAACCAAGCTCAGAGAGTACCATGGACCCCTCAAGGCTAGAAGATAACCACACAATGAGGGGAGGGGAAGATCTTTCCTGGGGCTGGATTGGTGCTCTTTTCACCCTGAAGAATGTTTAAAGATGGAAGCCAGAATCCTATGCCTAATACAAATTGGGAACAGACTTACAGCTGTTGCTGTTTCTTCTGTCATTATTACATAAATACATCACAGGATATTCTTCTTTGTTGCTATATTGCTAATCTTTTGGGAATGCTTGCATTAATGAAGATTAGTGTCCGGCGTCAGGCTAGATGGCACCACAAAGTTTTATGGCATACTGGAAATTAGCATGTTCATTAATCCATAACATTTCACAGACTAATGTCTGCTGAATATTAGAATTGCACAGAATTATCCAGAGTTATAGTTGTATACACTGATGGGGAGTGGATAGAAATCAGTGTGAAATAAAATATAGGAAAACATAATGATCATTACAGTATTACCTGTGGTCATTCATAACAAAATAATTGGTAATAACACAGGCATCCTGGGGACGACAAGTTAATTGTTTCGTCCTTAAGATAGCACAGTACTCTCATTTGTTTTTGCTGATACAGATTAACCTGAGACTCTCTCTCTAAAAGCAAGTATTTTTCAGCATCTTACAGTCCCCTCTTGCTCTTTTTAAAAGCAAGTGTTATTCTGCCTATTTTTGTTTTGTTTTAATAATAGGGAAGAGCATCTTTTCAAGGAACACAACCCAACCTCAGGAGATCTTCCAGTATCATGGTGGTGTCAGCTCTCTTATTTCCATTCTCTAAATCTAATCCAAACCCTGAAAAATACTCCATAAATCTATCAAAATTGGTTGCACTATTTTGCGTGCCGGGACACTACAACTGGTTTGAACAGTATTTCTTCTTGAACATTGCCCATTTCAGATGGGTGGACTTCAACTCGTAGAATTCACCTGCCAGCACCACCCAAGGAATTCTGGGAGTTGAAGTCCACACACCTTAAAGTGGCCAAGGTTGAGAAATACTGATCTATCCAGTGTAGTAGCCCAGCATCCAAAATTGTCCAACCATCTGAAGTGATATGCCCAGTTCCAAGCACTTCATTTTGAGAAAAAATAATGAAACTAGTATAAAGGAAAGCAAGAAGGGTGATTGGGGATGGAAACATACAAGGAGAAACTGAGAAAATTGAGTTGGGCTTGATAGAATATTAAAAGAACTTAAAAGGATGTCACACAGAGGAACAAGACCTAGTTTCTATCATTCCAGAGAACAGAACATTGAGTAATAATCTTAAATTACAGGAAGGCAGTCTATAGTTAAGTGCTATTTTAAAAAGTCTGAAAGAAACAGTTCAATAATGAAACCAACCATTATGGGATGTGATGGTCTCCCTTCATTGGATGTGTTTATACAGGAATGTTCAGGGATTCCTTAATATGGAATTCTGCACCAAACATAATGGTTTCTTTCCACGCTGAAATTCTGTGAAATGAGGCATTGGGAGCCACATGCAGCCTGTGTATTAACAATTAATGTTGTGCAGCAGTTAAGATATTAGAGTATAACAGAGGAGACCCAATTCTAGTCCACCCTCTACCACAGAAGCTCACTGGGTCACTGTTTCTTGCTCAGTCCAATCAACCCCAAAAGACTTTTGTGGAGAAAAATAAGTGGGGATATCACTATGTATATACCATTTTATGCTCTTAAAGGAATTGCGGAACGTAAATAATAAACATATATGTATACCACTAATTCATAATGTGAGCAAGTCTGCGGCAGCCCCACAGCTAAAGTGGAAATGAACAAAGAAAAAGAAAAAAAACCACAGTTCCATATTTTACCTGTAAGTGATGCTATTGAGTTACAAATAGAACACTGGGCCTTGGTGCCTGTGTATGCTGTATGTTTTTGCTCCTGGGAGAGCTTTGTTCTTGTTTCTGTTTATATCCCAAAAGTATAAAGGACAACCTTTCCAGCTCATGTAGTATAGGCAGGATTGTTATATAAATCAGCCTTCTCCACAATATTAATGCATTCCTAATATTTGGGACTAGCTCAAATAATTCTACAGCTAGCATGGCAGGTCGGCCATATATTATTTATTTACCTGTTTGCTTAACTTGTATTCTGCCCAAATCTGGGCAGCTCACAACAATCAAATGAAGAAATAATAAAATTGATAAATAAAACAAAATAAAATACAGCAAGGGCAAGGGCAATAAAAAGGCCAGGTTATATTATTTTAATAGTCACCAAAACCAATATGCTTAACCCTTATAATTAGTAAAGTAATATTATAATGTAATGTAATATAATAATATAATCATTTTACTATGAGAGTTATAATTTAACCCCTACATAAAACATTATATAATTAAATATTATAATATACTATAGTATAGTATAGGGATTAAATGCCTACACCAGAGTTCCCTAACCTCTCCGGCTTTGTGGAATGGTGGGGGAGGGGAGAGGAGATGGTTCTGCGCCAGTGGCCGGCAAGTGCATGCGCAGCTCACACAAGTGGAGATGGGGACATTTGTGTGCATGCTCACCCGCCACTTCTGCGGCCCGGTTCTGAACCGCTCACGGCCCATCAGTGTGCTGCCGCCTGGAGGTTGGGGACCCCTGGCCTACACAAATGCAGGAATTTGGCAATGGCAGACAGATATGTACTCCAGAAAACATATTGGTTTTGTGACCTTATTATATGCAATTAAAGCTCTAACAGAAGTGGCCTTCATTCAAAGCAATGCCTAGAGCCTCTCCCAAGTTGCAACTGCTGAAAGGCCACCTTGATCTATTGTCTCCCGAGTTGTATAAGTTGAAAGTACATTATGGAGCCAGATCTTAGATAAGCATCATCTGGCTGCATATGTCCAATCAGGAAGAAGGGGACAGTTTAGAAGCCAACCAAGTGACCTTTGAGGAAAGCTGCTTTCTTGTTTCCTAAGAAACTGCAAGGGTGCCAAGAAGTGTTGCCATGGAACCTGTTTGTTGCTGTCTCTTTGGTACCATGATTTCATGGAAGGTCCAGCTTCTCTGTGGAAATCTGGATATCGTCCAAAAATGACTTCAGAATTGCACTGTGTATCATTCTATTCACCCCATAAATCAAGACTAAGAATTTATTACTTACCCAGTCTTGCCTAGTGGAAGAATGAATAAACTTAATCTTGATATTTTCCAGTAATAAAAGGACTATGCCTACCGTAGTGAGATCCTCTGCTTTAAAATACATTTTCTTTTCATTTCTCCCGAGTTCTGTGGAAACATTTTTTTTCATAAAAAACCCAGGTAAAGATTTCCCCTGTATGGTCCTGTCTGACTCTAGGAGACGGTGCTAATCTTCATTTCCTAGCTGAGGAAGCCAGCATTGTGCGAAGGTGCTTCCATTGTCATATGGCTGGCTTGGCTATATGCCAAAGGCACATGGAGCACTGCTACCTTCCTACCAAAATGGTATCTCTTTATCTAGTCGCATTTGCATGCTTTCAAACTGCTAGGTTGGCAGAAGCTGGGGCAAGAACAAGAGTTCACCCCATTGCATGGCGCTCAAATCTTAAACTGCCAACCTTCTGGTCAACAAGCCCAGCGTTTTAACCACTAGGCCACCGCACCCTGCTTAAAAACTCTTGGAACAGTGTTATAGTTAACAATAAAAAAAACACGTTTAGAGATTCATCCTTGTCACACATCTCCTTTTTTGCGAATGTCCTTTTCTTAGTATCTTTTTGCTCTTCAAAATTAAAACAAAATCCATAAACTCTGAGAGACTTCTGCAGGATCTCTTTTTCTTGCTGATACCACTAAAACTTTCTCTGTTTTAGATTTTTTTTTTCTCCTTTATTTCTTTGTCTTTGAGTAAGGTCATTATGTGCGACATGGGGAAGATTTAGGATAGTGCAGTCGCCGTGTTTACATTAACATAAACAAATTCCATGTTGCTAAAGAATTTAAAATGGTTTATAAATAGGCTGACTTCATAGTACTGCACATCTACAGCTTGTTAATATTTGCCTTTCCTGATACTAGACGTATTCCTAATTCTGGCCCCTGATGGATGAAGATTTTCCTACAGTGGGACTCTTACCTTCCCTGAGACTTGTTCTTGCATCCATGCCTCCCAAATCCTTCTCTCCTTAATGCCCTCCTCCCTCTAGAACAATGTTTCTCAACCTATGGGTCGCAACCCCATTTGGGGTCAATCGACCATTTCACGGGGGTCGCCAAGCAAGGCTGTCCGCCATTTTTTTCCCCTTTTCCGGCGGGTGCCTTACCTCCCTTGGGCTGGGCCAGCTGGTGGTCGGCCTGCTCCATCTCTGCCGCTTGCCAACTACGCCTCGGCCGGCGCCCGGGAGCGCCGCACATGCGGAACCACGCATGTGCGGCGCTCCCGGGCAGGGAAAGTCCTCGACTTACGACCGGTTGTGTAGTCCTCGACTTACGACCGGTTTAGTCCTCGACTTACAACCGGTTTAGTCCTCGACTTACAACCGGTTTAGTCCTCGACTTACGACTGGTTGGGGGTCGCGGCATTAAAAAGGTTGAGAACCACTGCTCTAGAACAGTGTTTCTCAACCTTGACAATTTTAAGGCATGTGGACTTCAACTCCCAGAATTCTGGGAATTGAAGTCCACATGCCTTACAATTGTCAAGGTTGAGAAACACTGCTCTAGAAAATAATCTGGGAGGAGGCACCCAGACTTGCCAAGCTTTGACTAGCAGTTTCACAGTTCAAGTATCATGACAATTTTTTCCCTACATTAAGGAAAAGAAAAAAGGGAAATGCTTTATCAAGTTCCAACCTTAAACAGATGTCTAGCTTGAAGCAAGGGAGAGTCAATGCTTGTGTAATTATTACCTGTGTATTTGTAAGGCAGAAATCTAAGCATCTTTGAATTCTTCAGGTAACTAGGCAGTTATTAAATGGGCCATTGCTTTCTCAGTTGTGCTGTGGTGGCTAGGTGGCAGCACCTAGCTAGCTGTAGCTAGTCTCAAAAAAGCTAGGCAGGATCAAAACTGGTTAGTATTTTAATGGGAGACCACTAGGAAATCTCATGGATCTAAACTAGAATGGAAAATTATAAAAGATCCCAGAAGACAATGTAGTCACCAAGAATCAAGGTTTACTTAAGGGAGACTTAATTTTTTTTTCTCTTGAAATATCCACTTCATTAAGTATCTTCATTATAGTTTACTAATTCATCAATGCTGTCAAAGAGCTTCTTTCTAAAGAGTCGATTAAATGCAACTGTGTCTGGAAGAGGATACTGAAGAATCCAGGTGTGAGGCTTAGGATAATTGGGAGGGGGTGTGTGCTACATAAAGAGATACAACTCTGAAAGAAAAGATGTGATACATAACCACTGGAACGAAAACTTGCTAGTTTAGGAAAATTTGACTTTTCATGTCCACATTTTGGAATGGAAGAGTAGGTTCTTGTGCCAAACCCAAAGAGAGAAGTAAGCATCTTTATTACATCCTCTTGCCTCTTTGTTTTCTCCTGCACATTTTCCTTCTATATCCTCTGATTGCGTTCCATTTCCCCTGCTCCACAGATTTATTTCTGGGAAGCTCAGCGGCAGAATGAAACCGAAAGAGTGAAAACACTCTTCTTACCAGAGAGTGGTGTCAAACTGAAGAACCTGACGGGCTACACTTCCTACCTCATCTCTGTCCTTGCCTTCAATGCTGCAGGTGATGGCCCCCGCAGTATCCCTATCAAGGGCAGGACCCAGCAAGCAGGTAGGTTACATAGCAGGAGAGGCCCAGGTCAGTAGGCATTTAGAGGTGGAGGAGAGACTCTGCATCAATTGGCAAAGGCTTTGCTAAAGTGGACAGATGCCCAGATACAAATAATGTTCAATCACTGTAGGAGAAAGAGTGGCAGAACTTGGGAGCAGAGTTAAAAGAGGGATCAGCCTAGAATCCCTAGGTAGCCACGAGCTAACTAAGTTCAACCTGTTGTCACTTATCTAACTCCAAACAAGTGCTAACAGTTAATTAAGAAGATTAATGTCAGGCACAAAAGACCAGGTCCACATGTGAAGATCCAATTAAACTGATTATTGCTATATATCCTATGCACAGGAATCTTCTCAACTAACCATTAGCACCTATTTGAAGTTAGATAAGGGTAAGGGGAATTCAAGGGAGGTTAGACTTAATTTGCTTGTGGCTATGTACAGATTCTAGGCCGATCCCTCTTTCAACACCACCCCCAGGTTCTGCCAGTCCTTCTCCTACAATTACTGCTTTACTAATCCCTCAGTTAGCGGGTCTGTGCCCAACACTGGGCATCATCATCATCATCATCATCATCATCATAATAATAATAATAAAGTTGGAAGGGACCCTGGAGGTCATCAAGTCCAAACCCCTGCTTAGGCAGGTAACCCTATACCATTTCGGACAAATGGCTGTCCAGTTTCCTCTTAAAGTAGGTCATGTTTGTTCATTTATAAAATATTTCTAACTTTATGTAATGACTCTGGGCAGCTTGTTATTTTTTTTAAAAAAAAAAAGATAAGAAATATCAAGAAAGACCAGAAAAGAACAACAGTCACACAGAGAGAACAATAAAATTCTACTTCCCTATGCAAAACCCAACCAAAAGAGATCCAACAGCCGCATAGCACAAAGCATAGTGGAAGAGCCAGATTTTCAAGGCTTGTTTAAAGGCAGGGAGGGAGGGTTTGTTAAAGATTTCCAGATTCCAGCTCACCTGTTTCTCAGTACATGTTTAAATACATCTGGAATCCTTTTAAGTTAGGTGTATCTGTCAGACCAGTAGTGACATAATGTCATATGCCTCCAAACATTCAACAGCTTTGTGATCATAGAGTTTGCCCATGTCACAGTTTCTAGTTCTGAATTAGAAAAAAAATCCTTTCATCTGTCCTCTAGAAGAAGAAAGGAAATAATATGCTAGTATCCCTGTTCTACCCAATCTATTCATTTGTCTATGTTTATGTGGCGATTTGAAAACAGAATCCTTCCTGAGAGAAAGGTCATATCAAGGGAAGATCAGTTATAAAATAATAAATAAAGTGGCATTGACTGTGGAAGCTCGAGAGTGATATTACAATATGTCTATGTTCAAAAGCCTTTTAAAGTACCTGTGACTATGCCAATAAATTAGTAAAACTGCACTCAAAAGCCATTCTGAGAGGGAACAGGGTGGGCAGTGAAAGAGGTTCAGCTATAAAAATGCATAGAAAAATTGGAAGTTCCATGAAAAGATGACAAACCTCTGGAAATAAGAAGGAGGAAGATTGACTGCAAATATTACGTCTGCCCTTGTTTTGGATAAAAGTGAAAATATTGAAGCTGAGAACAGGAACCAAAGGCAGTAGTAAAAAAAAATGAATTTCTTCCATGGATTGCAGAGATTACCCAGGTAAAACAGTTTAACAGTAACGGTGCACATTTCAGTCGCCTCTTTGATTGAAAATACAAAAGGAACTCAGAAGAAATAAGGAAATAGGAAAATGAGCCAGTAGATGCGGGACTTCTGTTGGTGGACTAATAAAAATGTCTCCCATATTTGCCACCAGTTGGATTATGCAGTTTGATAGGCTAAATATGAATGGAATGAATTACAAAGAGATTAACCGTTGCTGATGTTGTTATTGTTATTTCCCTTTAAAATGGTTCTGTGCCCTGGCTTCATTCATCTTACCACTGTTGTGGCTTCCTTATTCAGCCCTCGCAAATGGGCTTCAAGTTTAAAATCTCCCAGCCTAATTTATTTATTTTTTGTTATAAAGGCTCGCAGTATTGCCCAGGGTAACATGACACGGCTATGTTCCCCACTTCTGCTGTTTCTTTTCAATGCCAGGTCAAAGAACCATGATGAAAGGAATCTATTCTTGTCTCAAAACATAAGGACGTTTTGTAATTGGTTCAAGAATGATAGGGCCAAGAACTCTCTGTTATAAAAGAATAAAATCACAGAAATTATCCAACTCTATTTTTGTGTGCAGATCCACCATGTAGATCTGGGATTTCCAACCTTGATAACTTTAATACTTGTGAATTTCAACTCCATGCTGGCTGGGGAATTCTGGGAGTTGAAGTTCACAAGTCTTAAAAGTTGCTAAGGTCCACAAGTCTTAAAAGGTGCTAAGTTGCTAAACTTGAGGTCCACAAGTCTTAAAAGGTGCTAAGTTGCTAAACTTGATGTCCACAAGTCTTAAAAGTTGCTAAGGAGTTGAAGCCCAGTTGCTAATTCTGGGAATTGAAGTCCACAAGTCTTAAAAATTGTTAAGGAGTTGAAGTCCACAAATCTTAAAAGTTGCCCCATAGGTCTTCCTCTAAAGTGCAGGCATGAGTTCCTCTCCACGCTCTCTTAATTTCAGATTGGCAGCCACCATATTCAACATGCTTCTGCAGTTCCCTCCCTCCTGCCCAAATCATAGACTTACCTCACTCTCCTCCTGCTCCAAACTTCCTGTCACTTTTGAAGAAAGTGAGCCTTTTCTGCTAGAAGTTTGATAACCAAACTGTCTTCTGTGTTGCTGAATATGCATTCCTGCCAGGCTGAAATCCAGCAGAATATTCAAACTACTTAGGCAACATTGGATGTTGAGGGAAAAGGCATATGTTGCTGTGTAGTCTGAAGCCCTGGTCTCCATCTTCAGTCATTTGTTTTGTGCATGTTGGTATGACCTGTTCCCATCCCACAACTTCTGGTTTGATACGCATTTCATTACAATGTCAGCTTACATGTCTGGATATCAAAGGCAATAATAAATATTTTTTTTAAAGGGGGAGAAAATATGAGGGGCTCGTTAGCCATATTCATCTCTAGCATCTGGGCTTCATGTAATGCCCTTTAAGCTGAGGGCATCGTCAAGGATCTAAGCTAGGATCTTGGTTATCTTTGTCCAGCGGGAGTCAATAGAGCCTGTACTAGGAGCTGCTTTCCTGGCTTCCCTTTTCTGGAATCCTTAAGGCAGGGGTGTCAAACGGACGGCCTGCGGGCCGGTTGCATCATGTAGAGGCTGTGCCCACCCCAGCTCCGGCAATGCAAAAAAAAGTTGCGATATGTTGCGACACGTCACGTGACATGGCAAGTTTGACACCCGTGCCTTAAGGTTATTCTTGGCAAAACACAAAGGAATATGAGAAGAACCATAGCAATGGATTTTGGCCAGAAGTGTTAGAGATATTTTCCTTTATTTTCCTTTTTTCAGGCCCCCTGCTCAGCTCGTCCCGTGATTCCATTTCAGTTCAATCTGTTGGATTCAGTTTGTTTCCATTTCTTTTGAATGGAACCAGAAAAAAAAGAAGGGCATTTTGCCTACGGCTGTGATACAGTAGTTTCTCTGTCTGTAGTTCTGAATGTCATAATGAATGTTTTCTTAGCACTGCCACCACTCAGCCTCCCCTGCTCCTCTTTCAGGTTGTCAATATTTTTTTATTCTTACAGGATTTTTTAACTTGGCCTCCCAATGTTTTCTTGTTAGCAAGTATGAATAGACAAATGGTTTGTAACAGCCTATCCAGCTTTATTCTTTTATTCTTCTTCCTTCTTCTTTTTTTTAGCTTTCATAAGCATTCAATATTAACTCAACTAGAGGAACTAAGACAGGGAAATCTCAAAGAAGTCTATCACCTACACAGAATTTCAGGAGGACAAATTTTAATGAAGTCAGATAAAAGGTGGGCAGCGTGCCATGGCTCGAAATTCTAAAACAGCCTTCGTTGCTATCCTATCATGGTCTACGGCCCATTTCTTGACTGCTGATTCTTTTACTATTGAAAGTCAATTCTGAAAGGCAGAAACTATCCATCGCTTTAATATTTTCATTGTTAGTTCTAAGGCTTCTTTCTGGACTTGTTATTGTTTATTCTTCTTTATAATTTAATCATAGTTCCATTTTTCATTGCTCCTCGATTTTCATTACCGGCGCTTCCAGTTCATCTGCATTTTCAGCTATCAGAATAGCATATCAGCATAGGACAGGGTATATTTCTTCCCCCTGTTTTAAAATCACATTCATGTTCTTCCAATCCATCCTCTCTTAATATTTATTTATTAAATTTTTCACACCACCTGCCTGTCAGCAACTATGGCTATATGTTGAATAACGATGGAGCATACAGCTTTATTTCACTTCTTTGCTAGTCTGGAGCCAATCTGTTTTATCATATTCCACCCTGGCTATGATTCCTTGTCCTATATGCATGAGAAGAACAAGTGTTCTGGGATTCCCATTTTCTATTGTTAGGTAACTATTTTATTGATATGAAAAATAATTCTCACAGTTTTTGTGCCAGATGTTCATTTGCAAAAGGAAATATTGCAACTTTTGTTACCTAAAATTATAATGCTGCCAGGGAAGAAATTTTGCTCCTTTAGCTACAAAAAAAACATGCTAATCCAAACCATCAAGGAAGGTGAAGTTAATCAGGAAGAATGGACTTTTTTAAAATAAACTTGCTTTCCAAGCTAATTCAGATAACCAATCTGGTTTTATTGGGCATATGTATGCTGTATAATGTCTTACTTCAGACATTATTTTTTCTTGAAAATGGACAAATGACGAAGGAATGTTAATTTTGTTTTTGATATCCTTGGTAGGAAATCTATGTATATGTTTCTTTTCATTCATCTTGGTATTTCTGTTAGAAAAACATGATAGGCAATAATGTGTTGCAAGACAGAGGTCACAGTGGGGAAAAGAGAGAGAGAAAATGCTTTGTGATCCATCAGCTTTCTGTTCAGAATAGGCAGGATTTCTCTCTCTCTGCCATATGTTTTGAGAGAACCAAAAATCATCTTGCTTCTTTTCAATGAGCCTAACTAAATCTGTCCTAATTTCAAATTAAACCATTCCAGTCCCTTTCTTTTTAATCTCCTTTCAAGCATTGGTTGGCATTCGGATCTGTTTCACGGATCAGAGCTAGTAAGTCAAGCTAATTTTAATTTCTGCGCACAGGGGGGAAAAAAAGTGATGACCTGCTAAGTGAGCTGTTTGCTTGGCCTTTGTGGAAAACAAAGAGCCCACTATCTGGGTATTTTTCTATGAGCAAAAAATTGCTACTCTGTGAGTGCGATTTAAGTTTCTTTACAAAAATAGTGCAGGGATAAGGATTTGGATGAATGTTGTTGCAGGTGCTAGATACCAGGAAGAGAAGATTTGATTGCCATTGTGGGAATTCTTCATATGTACGGTACTTAAGCCAGTTGAGCTATTTAATATAGTTGTTTCATTGCTGATGTTTAAACAACTGTGGGAACTGCTTTATGACACAGCCTTTATTCTTCAGAACAATCCTAACCGGTTGATTATGATTACTGTACTTGTAAGAAAAGGAAAATAGAAAATGAAAAATGTTCACAGCTTTGTGTGTGTTGATAAAGCCAAACTTCCTGGTATGTAATGGTTCCCTTTTTCATAGGAGTGAGTAAGTTGGAAGGGATAGTTGATAGTTTAACACAGGGGTCTTCAAACTTGGCCCTTTTATGACTTGTGGACTTCAACTCCCAGAATTCCTCAGCCAGCGTGCTTGGCTGAGGAATTCTGGGAGTTGAAGTCCACAAGTCATAAAAGGGCCAAGTTTGAAGACCCCTGGTTTAACACAATACACTCCAAACACATCCCAGTCATGATTGTCAGTTTTACATTTTCTTTTCTTCTTTTTTAAACATTTCTGGGGATCTGACTCATGACCTACTTTCTAAGTAGAGTTTTTGTTGTTGTTGATTTCATTCATTCTTTCTCACCAGTGTCACAAGGCTGCCAAAGCAGCTAAATGTTTCCCCAGATAACCCAGACATATAAAATGTCTTGGTTGTCAAGGAAACCAAGAGCCCGGTGTTAAGGAAGGAAAAACAATCTCCACCTGTGTAAATTTATTACCAAAGAAGAGGCATACAATACCGCCTTATTGTCATCCTTTTCTTTCAAAACCAGCAAGAGGGAATTATTCAGTCCCAGCAGATTAAAAGGCTTAACGCAGCTGAGAAGTCATTTTAGGCAATTCTTGTAAAATAGACATAGAAGATTAGTTTCTTTTCTGGATTTGAGTTTGACTTCTTCCTTCCTTCCTTCTGCAAAAAAAAAATCCTTGCCCTGAAGCTCCACAGCACCTTGAGTCAGCCTAGCATAAATGCAGAGAGCAATTGAGTTCTCTCCAGCCCAATTTCTGTCTCCCCCACGTTTTTCTGTCCCCTCCAAGCAATTCAGCCAAAGGAAGCAACAGGACGCATAAAGTTTTTGTGCTGAAAATGGCCACACTGAGAAGGGAAGCTACACACGGAAAGAGAAGCACATGTAGGGAGCCTCTTGGAAGACTGTTGTCAAAATGTGGGATTTGAGGCAAGGACTAAGAGAGTCCTATGCTCTTTGGTAAATTCTGATGCATAACTGTAACGGAATTACAGTCATGCAATTCAATGTCTCTTCTTCACTGACTTCTCAACCTACAATCTCCTCTGTTTTAATAATTAAATAATGTATTAAAGGTAGATGCTGCCTACCTTCCAGCAACTCTGGGTGGTTTTCACAGTTCAAGTTGGCTTCCACAGTTCAAGTTGGCTTCCACATTGACTTCCTGGTTACTTCCTGGTCACTGGCTGTTCAGAAAAGGCTATACACTAGCTATGTTCAAAGAGAAACTGCATTTTCTTTAATGAGTTATCATTCATTTTTCAGACTCTTGGTCGATACCCATGATAACTTCAATTTAGATCAGGGGCGTCCAACTTTGGCGACTTGTCAGATTTGTGGACTTCAACTCCCAGAATTCCCCAGCCAACATGGGAGTTGAAGTCTTAAGATTACCAAGGTTGGACATGCCTGTTTTAGATCATGTAATATAGCACTACTCTTCCTTCTAATTATATTATTTCTATCCTCCAAGCCCCCAGTTCCCCAGGCTCTGTCAAATTCAGTGAACTTACCACAACTTCTGTGAATGTGTCTTGGGAGCCCCCGGTCTTCCCAAATGGAATCCTGGAAGGCTACCGGCTTATCTATGAACCCTGCATGCCTGTGGATGGTAAGGAAGTTACAGGGAGCGGATATGCATGTCTGGGTGTATGTGACATACTAAATCAAGCACAACAATTAATGGCAAGGGAACACACCTTGCTGTCTTAGGAGAACATTCTAATTTATGACTATAGGACTACAGATTTAAAAAGTTAGGCTGTCCGTAACCAGGACCTTTTGAACTTAAAATTGTATTTCTACATCTCAGCTGTATAATCCATCAATAAACACCCAGCAATAAAGGCAAGGAGTCCTAATAGCCATAACTTAGTCAGAAAAAATAAAGGCATTCTTCAGACAACCTGAACCTGGGTGACTTTGTTTGTTTGTTTTATCTGCAGTCCATGTAACATAAAAAGCAAGGTCAAGCTCTGTGAATCAACATAATTCAACAACATAGATGTCAAATTGTAGTTTCCAACACCGCTTTCTCCCTGTGTTCTCACAGGAAGGATTAGAACAGTGGTGGGATTCCGCTGGTTTGCACCACTTCAGCAGAACCGGTAGCTAATTTTTTGTTGCCCAGGCCCAGAATGGACTTCCGGAAGCATCCACACAGAGAACCGGTTGTTCACATATTTGAATCCCACCACTGATTAGAACCACTGTAAAACCATCCTCCCAAGGCCCAATCCTGTCAAATGGCCCAGTAGATTATCATGGACAATGGTACTGAAATCAGCCATCGCTTTTCCTGGCTGCCTTATCCCCTGGGCCAGACCAGGGTGCTTTTGTTGATTGTTCCCAGACCATGCTTTATTCCCTACTCTACTCAATCTCCTGGAGCCATCTCATAATATGCACCTTTCTGCCTTCCAGGGGTCAGCAAAATTGTAACTGTGGATGTGAAGGGAAACAGTCCTTTGTGGTTGAAAATCAAGGACCTGTCCGAAGGTGTCACCTACCGATTCCGAATTCGAGCCAAGACCTTCATTTATGGGCCGGAAGTAGAAGCCAACATCACCACAGGGCCAGGGGAAGGTACATCGAGGAAACTGAGAGAAGAGATACCTTTCTCCATCATTCTTCACCTAATCTTACAGATCTTAACAACTAGAATTTAAACTAGGACCATGCCCAGTAATAAACCACCACCATGCCCAGAAATACTTCCTCTATGACTCCGGTTTTTATAGGAGTCTGCCTAATCTGTCTAATGTAATAGTACTGGATTCAGTTTCTCCTTGTCTTCCAAGCCTGTTGATTACTATGACAAAAATCATATTTCTTCTTTCCTCATGTTTAAGCAGAATGGAATAAAATGTGCAAAATGCCCTGTTTATAGGTGGCTGCTTTGGATATATAGTTCCTAGAATTCTTCAAAACAGGAATATTCTTCTCAATATGTCTTGCGTGAATCATGCCTCATGTACCCCTCAATCAGTCAAAACTTAAGAGTTTGCCTGAAAAACAGTCGTTCTTTGCTGAATGGTTTTGTACAGTCATAATAACATAGAAAGCGGAGGTAACTGCACAAATAAATATAATAGCTAATTAGGCATAGCATCATTGTCCCCTGGCCCCAATTTTCTAATGTTCTCTCTATTCCTTGGCCTAGCAAGGATCACTGAAGAAGTTGCCATCAGCTCAGAATAAGAATAGAGCTGGAAGGGACCTTGGAGATCTTCTAGTCCAGCCCCCTGCTCAAGCAGGAGATCCTATATCATTTCAGACAAGTGGCTGTCCAGTCTCTTATGTGGCCCATATGGGTTTTTAAAGAGAAATCACATGATATTTCTGAAACTATTGATTTCTAATGTTAGAGCCCTTAATGTATGTGTGATATAAGAGGACTCTTTGTAAAAGGAATCACAATTGTGCTTATTCAATTGTTCCTTCATATGTTCAAGTGTTAAATCCAGCATTGTAAACAAGCTATTTTAAGCTCAGTAAATTTGGATTACCCAGTATTTGGAAAACTTTCTCTCTGGCAGCCACTTCAGTTTTGCACATGGAATGTTTTTCTAGCTGATAAATGCCTATAAATAGCAGGTATATTGTTTAATTAACCGGATGGCTAACATCCACGTTAAACAAAAATGTCTATAAATTCCTGAATTGGCTCAATCTAAGTTTTTAATGCTTCAGAAATTGCTTTTAAATATAGCTGGTATGTGGATAACAAGAAATGATTATAAAATAGCTTACTCTGTAAAATACCATTTTTGTGGTATTTGCAGCCCACCAGAATTGTAATCAAAATTCGGCTTCAAAATACAGCTTTGGTAACATTTTTTGGTCTTTCATTTATTATTTAGTGCTAAAATATTATATATATTATATATATTCTAGTTTTATATCTTGCCTTTCATTCAAGAGCTCAAATGAAATATTCACTTCCTCCTCCCATGCCCCTTCCTCTGCCCACATGCACATATGAGTAGGTTGGGCTGAGAAAGCTTGATAGCCTTCAGCCACCCAGTGAAACTCCATGGCTGAAATTGGACTGTTTGTGACTAAATAATACGTTACTTTGTGTAATGAATTAGGCAACATCCAAAAATTCTTAAAAAACAGGTTGTAAAATTCAGCTCAGTAGTCCACTGAAGTCACCTTTTCATATTCCTTCTCAGCCTGGGGAAAAATGTTTAAAAAGCTTTTGAAAAAAGAAATGTAGCACTTGAAGGGGGGAAAAAACCCTTGCCTGATTCTCCCCCAAACCATTTCTTACACTCTTATTTTGGCCCATTTGACCCTAGTTAAAGCCCAGAAGAGACTTGGATTAGAAACGAGTTGTCCAAGTTGATGTCTGCTTAGAAGATGATATAATTAAGGCCGCTGGAGATAGACAATGTGGAGAAGGAAATGCAAGATCCACCATCAGCTCCACAAGAATACTGTTTCAATACTAAAGGAGCATTCTCTACCATCCTCTAAGACAGAGGTCTCTAAACTTGGCAACTTTATGACTTGTGGATTTCACCTCCCAGAATTCTTCAGCCAGCATGAGGAATTCTGGGAGTTGAAGTTCACAAGTCTTAAAGTTGACAAGTTTGGAGACCCCTGCTGTAAGGCATGATTTTTATAGGGCTCATCTGAAGTCTTTGTGCAGTCTCGTAGCACAATTTCTCCACTGATATAACTGTTGTTTTTTTTTTAAATGCAGGTGCTCCAGGTCCTCCCGGTGAACCCTTCATCTCCAGATACGGTTCAGCCATCACAATCCACTGGTCGAGTGGTGATCCAGGGAAAGGGCCCATCACCAGATACGTCATTGAAGCACGTCCTTCAGGTACCGATACTGGATTCAATTCACCTTCCTTTGATTGTTTCACCCATTTGTCTGGGCTCTTTTCATTATTTGAACAGCCAGAAAATCAACTGAATTTTCTTAGCTTGAGCCCATTTCTTCCAGAAGACCTCTAAATAAGTAATTTATTTGGGTGTGTTCTTCTGCTACTTCTGGATCTGAGTAATCCAGTAAAAGAAGAGATGAGAAACTAGGCACAAATGGTAAATTAAGCAAAGGTCAGTTTCTTTCACGGGTAACATCATATATTCATATAAGATTTTAATATTCATTAGAGCACATTGTTAGTTCTTTCATAGCATGGTTATTCTAGCTACACACATTTTGGAAATTACCTCTTCTGGTTCTTGATGTCATAACAGTTGTGAGCTGCTTGAGTAACTTGAAATTGAATATCCAGACCTGGAAACTTCCCTCTGAACACATAAAACTGGTATATTTAAAATCTACCCATAATTGGAATGATAAATTAAAGCCACTTTTCCCCATTGATGCATTTGCCTCTTTCCAGCCAAAAATCTCACCGAATGAATTTACTTTTGAGGAGTCTTCCTCTCCAAAAGGATACAGTGACTCTGAGTATACTCAGCTTGCTCTTTTCTTCCTCTTATAAGAGGATAATTCCGGGAAATGAAATGCTCAGCTAAAAGGGATGATTGATGAACCCAGAGGCCAGGAGCTGGGTACATACAAGGACATAAATCACCCAACTGCTTTGAAATAGACTTGGCCTTCCTTTTTAATGAAGCTGCTGTGAATAACTGTCTTTCACAGACCTCAAAATGAGCAGATGTCAGAGCATGGAGGCTATTAATTATCATTAAGTCTAGAATGCTTATCAAAGAATGTGTGAAAGACAGACGGTACTTATCCTGACACAGAAAGTTAACAGTACCTGTATTCAGTGGTGGGATTCAGCTGGTTTGCACCACTTCGGCAGAACCGGTAGCTAATTTTTTGTTGCCCACGCCCAGAATGGACTTCCGGAAGCGGCATCCACACAGAGAACCCGGTTGTTCACATATTTGAATCCCACCACTGCCTGTATTGGACTATTTATATGCACATATGAATGTTGCTAATACAGCACTCAGCCAAAAGGATCAAAACTGAACAAAAATGCATCCATATTAGCAGATAGATATTATTATAGATTTTTTTTTTAAAAAAAACAACACATCATTTTAGCATCCTGGATGAAACAGGTCATCATTAGAATTGGAAGCATCATACATGAAATGAGTCATAATTGGTCTTCTGATCTTTGCACCCTGTATATACCTGTCTTTGGATTTCCAGCTTCAAAATTTTCCTTTCTGATTCCATTCTCACATTCATTTGTCCTGAATCTCTTTCCCAGCCTATCTACCTTGTACTTCCTCTTTTTATACAAATCCTTCATTACAGTTCTTTTTCCCCCCCCCCATAAGTAATTATGGATTCTTTCACCCTCCCCAGAGAAATCAAATTAAAGTTCAGCTGATTGGCAACTGACTCATATTTATGACAGTTGCAGTGTCCCGGGGTCCTGCGATCACCTTGTGCAACCTTCTGACAAGCAAACTCAATGAGAGAATCCAGATTCACTTAACAACCGTGTTACTAACTTAACAATTGCAGTGATTCACTTAACAACCGTGGCAAGAAAGGTCATAAAATGGGGCAAAAACTCACTTAGCATCTGTTTCACTTAGCAATGGAAATTTTGGGCTCAATTGTGGTCATAAGTCAAGGACTACCTCTAAAAGCAGAACAGTAAAAAGACCCTGGAAAAGACCAAGGATCACTACAAGTAAAAGAGGTTAATCTGAGAGAAAGTGTCTGGATTTCTAAAGATTGGAGCAGAACTTCCTTCTCCTTTTTCATCTCCATGGCATTTATTCCATCGGTAAATAGAAGTCCCAGAAATTAAATTTTAATGTTGGTCCGTCTTAATCATCTGCAACAATCAGTCCAGCTACTAGAGCTATAAGGCAGTCCTTCAATATAGAATGCATAATGTAAGTGCCATTATACTTCAGCAGACAGCCGACAATGCAGATAACTCATAAATCATATAAACATGTTTTCTACTGCCATATAGGTCAAATATACAGGCCTGTGCTAAAAAAAAATCATTGATACATCCTCTTTGTGACTTCTTTTTGATACATAAACTAAGCAGCAGACATTCTAAAATGTTCCAGTGAGTTTACAAGGTAAAACTTCCATCTAGGTCATCCTTGCGCATCTTCTGTGAATTACACAGTTTGAGGAGAGAAAACATGATCTATATTCTGAACTGGCTGCAACTGCAACTAATTAAAAGTAAATCTTCCTTGATAACTATGAACCAGCTATACTATGACATTTTCACAACCATTGTGGGACTCTGCTCACTGGTCTTTGGAATTGGCATTCTGCATGCAAAGATATTTTGGATAAATTGTATGAAAAATATTAAGTATTTTTTTTAAAAAATAAAGATTCCTGCTGTACAAATCATACAAATGCCGCAATTAATTGTGTAAACAAATTGCTTGCATGTTTCTGTCATTTTTAGAATTGGGACTCTAAACTCATTTTCCAGCATACAGGACACCATTCTCCTATGTTTGATGTATATTTGTGTATTCCTGTGTTTTTGCATTTCCTATTGGAACTTCACTGATTGATTTCCTTTCTCTTCCAGATGAGGGGCTGTGGGACATTCTCATAAAGGATATTCCCAAAGAAGTGACTTCTTACACTTTCAGCATGGATATTCTGAAGCAGGGGGTCAGCTATGATTTTCGAGTCATTGCTGTCAATGACTATGGCTATGGGACACCTAGCAGTCCATCCCCTTCAGTGTCAGGTATTAAGGATAGAATCTGGTTTCGGTCATGTCGGCATGCTTTGAACTAATCTTTAAGTAAAAGCTATAGGAAGCGGTGTGCATGGGGCATAGGCAGCCTCATAGGAAAGAGATTACTTGATTCCTCTTCCTGTTTTGCAGCTCAAAAAGCCAATCCCTTCTATGAAGAATGGTGGTTTTTGGTGGTCATTGCTTTGGTGGGACTCATCTTCATTCTCCTCCTCGTCTTTGTCCTTATAATTCGTGGGCAGAGTAAGAAGTACGCCAAGAAATCTGATTCAGGTAAGTACCAGCATCATCTCAAGCCTTCATTTGCCATAAGCAGGTGTTTTCCATTGAGGGCACTACACATCAAATATCCATCCATCCATCCTGCTTGTGTGCCACCAAATTGGTACAAACTCACAGCAGCTTGCAAGCAACTAGCAAAAACATCCAAGCCAGTTAAAAAAATCCAGAATAAATATAAAGATAACCAATAATCAATCAAAATTACAAGGTGGTGATAACACATTATTCCACCAAATTTTCTTTGGAAAACTGTCATCTTCGGTAGCTTATAAAGCATGAGAAGGGGTGGGGCAAATCTTAAGTCTAAGGGGATGGAATTTCATAAGGCTGAAGCAGCAGTTGAGAAGTGGGGCCTTCTGGTCTCCATTCCCCTTATTTCACAAAGAGTGGTCTGACCAAAAGTTTCTCCTGGGAAATACATACCGGCCAGGACAATTTGGATGAGAGAAAGTAGTCCAGCAGGTACCTAGGTACCAAGCCATATGGCGTTTTATACGTCAAAGCCAGCACTTTGATCTGAAACCATCTGGTAACCAATGTAGAACCCAAAGCAGCTGTATAATCTGCTTGGGATAAGTAATATCCATCATATACCAAACCATTGCATTTTGCATCAGTTGCAGTTTCTGGGTTGCCTTCAAATGTAAGATTCAAGATTTTAGTGTCTCTTTCAGCAAAATGCTACGCAAAATAAGCTCAGTGACCAGACAGGCATTCTCTTTGTTCTCCTATCCCTAACAGGGAGTTAACAATCCTAATCAAAGCCATTGATTTTGTGACAGTGTTACCCATTCCCATTTTGCTAAATTCCTGAACCACTTCAGTGGTGAGAATTAACTTTCTGTTGTAAAGATAAGTCACATATAAAAAGTTTGGTGTGGGTGACCCACATGCTTTGCAACTTAGCCGAAGAAATCCTCAAGCAGCTCCTAACATAGCCAATGCAGTTTGCACGCATATGTCAGTTTTTCCCCTGTCTCTTTGCACAAACTTTCTTAAAGAGAAACTATTCCTCTGCTGCCTTACATGAATTCCATCTTGTATCACAGAACCTCATCTACTTTGGCTGGTGCTCCATAGTTTTGGTCATCGTTCTCTGGGACAGCAGGAGTAGAAGTTACCATGAACTGTCTCTTAGAATAGCCACGTAAAGCTTTTATTGCTGGGAAGTGATCCTTCCCCAAATGTAAGAGATTAAAGTCAGGAAATGGTGCCTTACATTGATTTGTGCTTAATTAGGAAGTTAATGCTGATTTCCTTAAAAAATATATATTTTGCAGTACTTAAAGTAAATCCTTAATTTCATTTAGTAAATTCCTATTTACCCTAATTCCTGTATTATTCCTGTGTAGGATCAAGAAGAGGTAGATGATAAGAAATAGTATGAGAATTACATTAAAATTACAGTACAAAATGTTGTTCTGGATGCAAAGCATGTATGAACAATGTAAGAGATTAAAGTCAGGAAATGGTGCCTTACATTGTGTTTACAGGGACAATTATCTCACTCGCTCAGCATAAAGCATCAAATGGCAGCTTATAGAGGGGACCTAGATCTTGTTTTTCACTGATGACTCACAATTAAAAAATCAGAAAGTTTAGAAGAAACGTCTGAAATTTGTTCTTTGGGAGAGAAAGAAGCTTGGCAGAAGTCTCTATGCTTTAAAAAAAATGTTCCAAAATACTAACAGCTTTTGTTCTTGTTTCCCTCTCCCCCCCCCCTCTCTGTTTTAGGGAGCAACTCCAAGTCTAATGCACTTAGCCATGGTGAAATGGTCAGTCTGGATGAGAGCAGCTTCCCTGCTCTAGAACTGAATAATCGACGCATGTCAGTAAAAAATTCCTTCTGCAGGAAGAATGGAATATATACAAGGTACCAGTGACTTCCAGACTCCTTAGAAGAAAGATGTGGGGGTGGGGGTAAACAAATCTGGGAGAGGCCCCTTGCTCTCCCATTCAAAACAGGCTTCCTTCTGAATGACATCTCAAGAGCTTCTGTGTCTCTCCCAAGGTCCCCACCACGGCCCAGCCCAGGTTCGCTGCACTATTCAGATGAAGATGTCACCAAGTACAATGACCTCATTCCAGCTGAGAGCAGCAGCCTTACCGAGAAGCCTTCAGAAATCTCCGATTCACAAGTAAGCCATGCTAGAGGGCTAGAAGTGGAGAGGTTTTCAGCTGCAATACTACAAAGGGTCTTGGGGATGTCACAAAGCCCATTGGAAAGAGGACGGAGTACATCCACTCCAGAATGGGATCTCAAGGCACCCCCAAAACAAACTTTTGCCACCACCCCCTGCCGAATTCTGACAAAATGATATATCAGGGGATCACATTGTATGCAACAAGTGTTTCATTTCAGTGACTTCCTTGAGCTTGCCCCAACTGAAGGATTCTACTAGGTTTATTGCTAGAAGAAGCCTGGTCATCCATGACCAGAAAATAGTTTTCAATAGATTGGATTGTTCAGATAGAAAAACCTGATAATTACCCACTACAAAAAGTGATTTCCACCAGCTTTTCCACAAAGTGAACTCTGACGATTGTTCTTATTGTTCTGTGATCGGTTTCCCCAAAGGCTAGTAACTCAGCCAGTATAGTTTTGAGACTAGATTCTATTCAGCCTTCCCTCTCTCTCTCCATCCGAAGCCCTGCTTAAATATTAGATTTCCTTATCTTAAGATTTCACAGCCCTAATACAGATTTACTCTGAGGGTTGTTATGCTAAAATGTAAACAGATGTCTGTTTATTTGCTATGGCTTTTACCACAGCATATGCCAAAAAGCTGGGAGTCGGAAGGGGCTGTTTAATAGATTGACAAAGCCCAAAACAAGCCAGACATTATATTTAGACATTCGTTTTTTGGAATGGAACGCTTTGAAACAAATGGTGTTTTTTTAAAAAAGTGCTCATATCCAAGTGCCCTCTACCACAGGTACATATGCCCTCTTGATTCTCTTTTCAAGGCTATAGTTGAGAGTGTTCTTGTTAAATAATCCCTCTAAAAATCACAAGTTCCATTCTATATATAGGAGGCTAATCAGAGAAAGAAGTCACCCATATCCTTAGCCCTGGGTGAAGGGGTCATCGGTCACCAACCTGCCTGTTTCAGTCCTGAGTATGAATTTTATAATATTTTAATCATGTGTATTGCCTTTCCTCCTAAGAGCCCAGAGTGATGTTTAAAAAAGTAAGCATGCAGATGTCATTGTAGCAAGCATGTAGTGTTTAAAAAAAGCCCAAACATAGAAATAACTTATCCTAGGATTGAAATGTTCCTTGAATTGCTAATGTATGTTCCTACACATTCTTCTGGGGAAAGGGATGCTGATCAGCAGAGGCAGCAGAGTACCACTAAGGAAGGAGTACAGGGACATCTGTCTCAGAAACTCAGGATTAGGACACAGGCCGTCTTACAGCCAGGCCTTTCTTTTCCTTGCACTGTTGCCAAGGGCGACAGGCCTAGCAGTTCGGAGGCTAACAGGAGTTGGCAACCCTGCCAGGCTGTAGCAAAAAACGGTTCCTTTGTCTTTTTTTGTGTAAGAACAGAATCTTTGCCAAATGGCCTGGCCCTCAACTGGCCCTCACCACGCCCAAGGGCAATTAGCAGAGAGAAGAACTGCTGTGACAGCCAAGTACCCATGCCACAAGTACATCTAGGTGCAAATCTCTCCACACATCTTCTTCCTGAGTAGCGCAAGCAGATATCCTTGCAGCTATCAGCTCAGCTCTGGAATATTCAGCAGACCTTTGTGAACACATCAGGTCCCCAGTTTACACAGATTAACAAAATATGTCATTAGTGTCTGAATTGTAGCTTTGTTGGGGGGGGGGAACTAGCCCATGCCAATAGATTGCCCTTCCAGCAAGATGCCAGAATTACTGGTTAAAAATCAAGGACTTTCTACATGGAAAGTAATCCTTTAATCCTGTACAGAGACAAAGATTCCACTGCCCATGCTGGCAAACTTTTATATTAGTGAATTAAGTTTAGATAATTACTGTCTACACAGAAACACTTATCTTCCGAAGACAGAAATGAATGTCAGACTTAACCAAGTCCATAGGACAAGGCTGCACTCTGAAATAAGCTTACTTAAATTAAAATCTTATTAAACTCTGTAGCATTTTCTTTTAGGGGATATGGTGAAGGAGACTTGAAGAGAAAAAGGTGATTTGAAGTCATGTCTGTTGCACCTGTCAGCCCCTTCTTAAATTAATTCCTAATCTTTGGGAGTGGCATGTGAGTCCAGGAGAAGATGCAGCTTCTTTAAGAACTTGCTACTATTGGTGTCCTGTGTGCTCCCAATCAGCTTTCAAAGCCAGATGACTGCACTGTGCACAGTTCTATTTCTGTTCTTAAGATAAACCTGGGTTTGGCTTGAGCAGACTCCCCATGAGGTCAGAGAACACCTGGGGAAGAACCTGAGAACACCATTTCAAAGTGCTGGGTCAACTTATGTTGCAGAAAGGACCGCTGTACTGATTTAGCATGATCCTTGCTGTACACACACTATATAAGTAGTCCTAGGATTATAACCATAATGGAGCCTGCCCATTACGGTCATAAATTATGATAGACATAAATCCAGGTTGGTCATGTGACCAGCCCAATTTTAAAACCTTCATTGTGGCAGTCATTAGGCAAATGCTGTGGTCTTTAAGAGAATGCCATGGTCATTAAGCGAACCCATAGAGGCTGATTTTGCCAGAAACCTGAAAATAAATTGCCTTTATTGGGAAAACCACCATAAAAATGTGGTCATGTGACCGCATGGATACTGCAAACGTGTCCAGTTACCAAACACTCAAAGTGCAGTCACAAGACCCCATAACTTTGAATCCAGGTTATTAAATACCCTCAGGGGGATCTATTGTAACTTCAAACCGTCACTAAGCAATCAGTCATAAGTTAAGAACTATCTGATACTGCCCCAAAATAATCTATAAAATGTAGTGTAGTACAGAGATCCCCAACCTTTTGGGCACCAGGGACCGGTTCTGTGGAGAAAGGATTTTCCGCAGACCGGAGAGTGCGTGGTTTTGTGTGCTGCCTGCACCCCACAGATGGGGCTTTGCTTGTTTGTGCAAACCAGTTGCTGGCATGCCGCGGCCCGGTACTGGTCCATGGACCAGGGGTTGGGGACCCCTGGTGTAGTAAATGTGGAGTGAAGCATGTGTCATTGCTTTCAAAGGAGTGGAGAGAGAATCACATAAAACTCCTGAAATTGACGGCTGCAGATTTTCATGACAAGTCCTCTAAAATTAAGTGTGGCCAGACAGTCCTGTTTTTGAAGCAGACAGTCCCCTAAAGAAGAGTCATATATCCAAGAACTATAAGCACAGTTAACAGATTAATCAGGTACACAAGTCATCTGACCCCCGCCTTTTCTATTATAAAGGAATACAGTGCACCACTTTTTAAATGATAGCTGTTCTAATGCTGCATCTGTATTTAAAATTATTATATGCACTTATTTTAATAATGCGTAACTGGCCATCAACATATGAAGCAACATGGCTGGACACTGTACATTTTCTGTGAAATGTCATAACTACCTTCTTTTTCTAATACAAGACTGTATAAAAAGTACACGCACATGATAGGGCAGCAGCATTAAGATTCCACACTAAAGTGGCTTAATGATTGATTTATGATGCAAAAATGCCAGTTATAATCAAAGGCTCATTTACAGAATGATCTGGAAGTTCCTTTTATATTACTTCATCATCCCAGCCATTGCTGCTTAGCTTCAGGTACCTTCCCATCTCTCTGTTTTAGACATGGGGAGCACATAGTGCCTTTCTTTCTCTCCTTGCTGATCACCTTGCTTTCACTTTTCTCAATCACCTGAATGTCAAGGCCCTCGTCTCCCACTTCCTTCTCCCCAATGAAATTAGTGCAGATGAATACCACCATTGAGAAACTCTTGGAGCGCTAAACAAGCTGAAACCTGCGATTTGATCTGTACCCTAGCTGGGCAGGGATTCTCATGAAAGATCTCTATTGTGCTTCTGCAAACGGAGAAGCTGAATTCAATTAACGAGAACAGAGGCAGAGTTGAAAGGAGGGAAATGAGCCAAGTTTGCCCTGCCCTGCCCAATTCTTTTTTTTTTCTTCCCTCAATAACATTCTTTAAAATACAGATGTTCTCAGAGAATAAATATTCAGTTACCAGCAGATGACTTTTAATACTAGAAAGTTCTGTCAGGAAATTTCTCCTTAGTTCTAGGTTGCTTCTCTCCTTGATTAGTTTCCACCCGTTGCTTCTTGTCCTGCCTTCAGGCGCTTTGGAGAATAGCTTGACTCCCTCTTCTTTGTGGCAACCCCTGAGATATTGGAACACTGCTATCATGTCCCCCCTCGTCCTTCTCTTCATTAGACTAGACATTCCCAATTCCAGCAACCGTTCCTTATATGTTTTAGCCCCCTAATCATCTTTGTTGCTCTATTCTGTACTCTTTCTAGAGTCTCAACATCTTTTTTACATCGTGGTGACCAAAACTGGATGCAGTATTCCAAGTGTGGTCTTACCAAGGCATTGTAAAGTGGTATTAACACTTCACATGATCTTGATTCTATCCCTCTGTTAATGCAGCCTAGGACTGCGTTGGCTTTTTTTGGGGCAGATGCAGCACACTACTAGAGCACAGCCTTCCAAATTACCATTTTAATAGTCAAATGATTCCACAGTTTTCTGAAATGTTCAGTGTTAAAAGCCACTGTGGGGCAATGGGATTGGATTAGGAGCAGGGAGATCCAGATTCTGTTCAGTTATGGAAACTTACTAGGTGTCTTTGGGACAGTCATTCTCAGTCTAACCTGCCTCACAGGGTTGTGGTTCTTTAAAAGAAAATTGGAGTACTATGTAAGCTCCTGAAAGAAGGAAGGATTTCCATTTTAACAATGAAAAATAAACTGTTCCTTCCAAACTAACCAACAATCCATCTATAAGAGTAGAAAGAGTACAGAGAAGAGCAACAAAGATGATTAGGAGACTGGAGGCTAAAGCATATAAGGAACGGCTGCTGGAATTGGGTATGTCTAGTTTAATGAAGAGAAGGACGAGGGGGGACATGATAGCAGTGTTCCAATATCTCAGGGGCTGCCACAAAGAAGAGGCAGTCAAGCTATTTTCCAAGGCACCTGAAGGCAGGACAAGAAGCAACGGATGGAAACTAATCAAGGAAAGAAGCAACCTAGAACTAAGGAGAAACTTCCTGACTGTTAGAACAATTAACCAGTGGAACAACCTGCCTCCAGAAGCGGTGAATGCTCCAACACTGGAAGTTTTTAAGAAGAGACTGGACAGCCATTTGTCCTAAATGGTATAGGGTTTCCTGCCTGAACAGGGGGTTGGAGTAGATGACCTCCAAGGTCCCTTCCAACTTTACTATTATTATTATTATTATTATAAGTATAAATATACTTTTAAAAATAAATGTAATAGCATGTATTTGATATAAAATATTTCCAAGATGGCTAATAATCAAAGAATGGACAAGGTAATAGAAAAATATAAAAGGCAAAACAAAGTTACAGTGATGTAGTGTAGTGTAGTATAGTGTAGTGTGCAGTACATTTTTGTCTAGAAAAAAAATACTGTGGAAATGTTCTCTGTGTGGTTACTTCTAACTTCCCAGCTTGCTTTTTTTTAAATACCTAGAGAAGTTACGCATAATTTTTCTGAGTTCACAGACCGCTTGATGTGTGAGAAAGAGTTTTGTACTGCCTACCTCCTTTATCCTGTTGTGCAGTCATTTGACATCATACCAAGTGTGAATTTGTTCTGCCTGGAGGGCAGAGCCAGGCCTTGACTCAGTAATTTAATTTTCCTTCATGGTGGCTACCTAGAAGCTGTTCAGCTTTTCCATCTTATAACTAATGTTTTTCCATCTCCCTCTACAGGGAAGTGACAGTGAGTACGAAGTGGATCAGAACCATCAGAAAGCCCATTCTTTTGTCAACCATTACATCAGCGACCCAACTTATTACAACTCATGGAGGCGCCAGCAGAAGGGCATCTCCCGGGCTCAGGCCTACAGTTATACAGAAAGTGACTCTGGGGAGCCTGACCCTTGCCCTATGTCCAACAGCACCAGTACCCAACAAGGCAGCCTCTTCCGACCCAAACCCAGTAGGACTCCAACCCCACAAACCCCAGTCAATCCACCTAGTCAGCAGAGCACTCTTTACCGACCACCCAGTAGCCTTGCCCCGGGATCCAGAGCCCCTATTGCTGGGTTTTCTTCCTTTGTTTGATCTGTCTAAAAGAAAGAAGATGAAGAAGAAGAAGAAGAAGAAAGGGGTAACAACAACAAAAGGATGGATTTAATAATAACAACCGTGACTTTTGGGTCCAGGAGTGTTACTTTTCAGAAGTAATGAGATGATGTTGGAGACAATCAGGCATAACCGAGATGGGATTCACTGACGGCTCCTGCTTCTAATATTGCACAGTTGCTCTTCAAAGGGATTCATCTGTCTGCAGATGAACATCTGGAGCAAAATAGGAGATAAGCTTGTTTTCAGGCCTATGGTTGAAAGAAGGCTGGAAGGCAACAGGGTAAAACTGGGAGCCTCGAAGCTAAGAGGACATTTGGTATTATAGTCACACCTCCCTGCAGTTCAGTTTTCTAGAAAGAGGGGAAAAAAAAAAAAAGTAAGTTGATGTTTCTCAGAATAGTTTATCGGGGTTTGATTTGTTTGTTTGTTTTGTTCTCCAACCAAAGCTTTCCTCGGAGGGGAACGGGTTAGGGCTCTGCGAGCTGTAAATAGGAGCCAGTTGAATTGCTACAGTCAGTGGTCTATATGCTGGATGCAAGGGCGAGGCTCAAAGGACTTGTCAGTATGAACATGCTCCTGATGGCTAGCAACTGGCCAGTAAGAAATGGAGACTCCCGAGACTCACCATGGCCACGCCGTGCCATGCCACGGCAGCAGTTGCAGGGAGCTGGAACAACTTTGAAAAGCTCCTCAGACTGATGCTACCTTGAATGAACTAGAGGGAGGGGGTTAAGTGGGAGGAGCAGCACCCACACTCGGACCACCTTCTTCCATTCGCAGCCAAGAGGCTATGCAGAATTTAGCTGAGCTCCACGGTGCTGACTAGACTCTGTGCTGTATCGTTTTCTTTCTGTGCGTTTTGTGTGATGACGGGAGAGTGCATTTGAGAACGGTTGGAGAAACCTGCAGCCGTCAGAGGAACTGTGATATTGTCACTGGGCAGCCGGTGCTCTTGGTATCTCCTCCGCTGAACGTGGTCTTCCTCTCGTATTGTGGGAGAAATACGCATCCGCATCCAACCAAGCCTCAAGACATCCACCCCACATGGTTGGCTGGTGTCTCTCCACCCCCTCATGTCTTCTCAGATCCTTTCCCCCCCCCCATTCACCTCACTGGGCAAGGAGGAAAGAAGGAAAGGGAGAAACCCTGGTCCAAATCAAATGCAATTTGAAGGAGCAAAATACAGACAGGGATTGTATCAGGTACGAGATGCAGATGTGCTCAACTCAATCCTGCACAGCCCCCTTCGTATTGGATCACTTCAGGGAGTTGTTCTTTGGCTTCACTGCCGTGTTTGCCCCTCTGGTTTCAAAAGTGAGCCTCTTTTACAGGTCCACGGAAGTGGAAAGTTTCTCCCCATAGTCTTTTAAGGGATTTAAAAAAAAAAAAAAAAATATTCACAACCACAAATATTAGGATGAGGAGAGGAAGTGGAAGTGAATGAGGGGCAAAATACATTCAAAGTTACAGTTCTCCCTTTTTTGCTTTTTTTAAAAAAATATTTTAGTGCAAGGGTCAGATAAAAGTTATGTTTCTAAGCATCTAATAGAGTATATATATATATATATATATACACATACACACACACATATGAGCAAACACACACACACACAGAGTGCCTATTGAGTCCCAAGATCTGCAGTGGCCATATTTTTTTTTTCTAATAGAGTTTGGGGCCAGAGCAAGAAGTCCAGGAATAATTGGGGAAAGGGGGAAAGAGAAAGGGTGACCATTCCACTTTTGTTGGGTTATCTTTTTTCCTTGGCTATAACTGTCTTCATTATATTCCCTCCACCTCACCCCATGCCTTTATTTGCACATTGTTTTCCAAGCCTGGTTTACAAAGCATTGAACTGGCACATCGGGTCCTTTTAATAAAGAATCAAACTGCAGTTTGAATGGTTTTTATGGTTCTTTCACATCTTGAACTAATCGTCTCATCACAAGCCATTCAATCATAAAATGATTTTTTTTTCCCCAGGAAGGATCATAAATTTCTGCCTGTTTGAAGGAGCAAAATAGTTTAATCGTGGAAAAGGATCTTCAGGCCATCATTTGGATGCTTTGAAACTTGGTGACCTGATTTAATCCAAAAGATGATTAAACAACCTCATAAGCCTAATGTGTACCATTGAAGATATTAAAATAGGCAGGGCAACTATTAATTACACCAGTGTTTTCCAAATTTGGCAACTTTTAAGATGTGTGGACTTCAACTCCCAGAATTCTCCAGCCAGCCAGTTTTCATGATAGCAGAGAGGTAAGATTTTCTGTATCTGGAGCTTTTCAAGAAATTTGAAGTCCAGATTTGGTAGCCTTATTCATAACCCATGTTTCCTTTAAAGATGTTATAAGAGTGGCTTCCATGTTTTGAACAAAATAATGTGGTTTGATTCTAATACAAACCAAGATAGTTGTAGCCACATAATGCAATACAATAACTGGCAGAGCTTCCAAAAGTAACCACATAAATATGTTCCCTAAAGGATGACAATCTACATTGTTTTCAATGTCATTTTCTATGCAAAAAGCATCGTCTCAAATCTGCTTTTTTTCCAGCAATCAAACATTTACATTGCTAAGGAACTCCAGGATTTCTCGCAATTTTAAAAAATAAGACAGCTACAAACTACCTGTTAGTCAAGCACAAGGAATTTTAGTACCATCTATTCATACATAGGATATGATTTGTTCTAATCCGAGGTCATTTCCAAGAAATTTTCAATTTACTCTTTAGTAACACACAAGTCACAGATGGGCTTAGCAAGCAATTAGAAGGGAGCTCACTAAAAAAAACCACAGAACCCTAGGCTGGGCTGAAAATAAACATCCTGGAAAAAGGATATATGAAAGATTTTAATATTGTTGCTGACCAGGGGTTGAGCTCTGAGGGTGTCTTTATTTTTACCACATATAAACAACAGGTTTGAATGGTGCATAGAAATCTTTCCTCAAAGTAATATTTATTTCCTGAAAAATGCCATCTACAGAAAGTGAGCATATTTTAGGTTATTATCAGGCATTGTCTTCCAGTAATATCTGTACTAGCATTATACCCCTAAAGATCTAGTGTTCTTAGTACAAAAAAAGATTATCATTGTAAATATAAAGAAGGAATTTCACTGATAGTGTAAGGATCCATATATTCAAATAATCCAGATAGGATTACCCTGTTTATAAATGATGCAAAATCCAGAGAGGTCCCACACAAGTAAGCCACAAATAACTAAACTTTACAGCACTCTGACAACAAATGAAGGCTAATGTAATACAGAAAAGGGTAAAAAAAAATTAAAAGCTTTCAGTGTGGCTATTGTAGAAGACTATTACACATCCCTTGATGTGTAACTTCATAAATACCATCATTATGTGGCATATATTGGCAAATAAATGTAGAGCATTCATATGCAAATTGCTTGCTACTCAGTATTAAATTTATGCTGACTTAACCCACACCTTTGTATGAATTTGCACAGATAGTTCCAATATGTATAGCCACTCTTCATCTCTCAACTTTTAAAAAAATCAGAGACCTGATTTTTTCCAAATTTCTTGGAAGTTGTAAGTATCCTCAAGGTTAAAATCATTAGTGCATTTGTTTCTTATGGTGCTAAATTGGAGAATGTTTACATCTAGGAGTAACTTGATCTGACAGAGGAGGTTTTTTTTCCAAATTTCATCCTGGGTTCATGCATTGCATGGCCAGTGAAGTGTTCTTTTTCCCCTTCTAAAAAGATTTTTCTACACAAGCTCTGATTTGGTTCATACAACTCTATGTTGTAATGGTAGGTTCACATGTCACACCAAGCCAAACCATTTATATTAAGACTTAACATGCTATATAGATCCAGTCAGTATCTTTTGAGGAAGTCATTTAAACAGTCATTCATCACTTATATACTAATTATGGAACTGTGTGAAGGTTTTCATAATCAACGTTGCCATAGATTATGCTATAAATCAGTTTCCAATCTACAGCAATTAGATTTGCCCTAATGCACAGCTAAACCTAAACTAAATCATATAATGGCTTAGAGTGAAGATTACCCAATCAATATAAGAAGGGATTGTAAAAAGGAGAGAGAGAGAGAGAGAGAGAGAGAGAGAGAGAGAGAGAGAGAGAGAGAGAGAGAGAGAGAGGGTTTTTTTATTATGTTTTCATTTGTTTAACCCTTCAGCCTGACTGTGTTTTCCAGAGGAAGCTATGTTAGCAATTCCAATCTGATGGACTGAAGGGCACTGTTCCCCCATCAATGCCAAGAGTAGGGTTAGCAAGAGTTACTGAGAGGGCAAGATGATCAGCTGGCGCCCTGCAGCCCAAGATTTAATTACCCATTGATGCAAGAATGAGAACGAAGCCACTGGCTTGGATAATGTAGCTGTTCAGTTGAAAGAGATTAACCCAGTGCTGAGGAAGAGGTAATAAAGGCCACTCTTCAGCAGCTGCTTGGCTGACTGGTAATTAATTGGCAAGCCTGAGGCCTATTAAAGAGAAGCCCATTAAAAACATCACTCTCTCTGTCCTTCTAAGGCGAAGCAAAGTTGGTTATGGTATGCTTTTTTTTTTTTCCCCAGACAACGATGCTAAGGTTAATTGTAAGGAGAATAAGTTATAACCCTCTGTAGGGAAGGACAGCATAGAGAGTGGCAGTGTTGTTTCTCGTCTATATTTATATTGCCCTCCTGCAGCTTGCTGCCTGCCACTAGCATATTAATTCTTTCATGCTTCTTACAAGTGTCAATTCAACTCATCAAGAAGTGAAGCAGAAGGTGGCTAATGCCATGTTATGTCAAGCTTGTATTAATTATAGGCTACAGTGGAGACACAAGAATATAATTGTATCCATTTGACTTCTCACCAGTTTAAGCCTCTTGAAAAAAGCCATGAAAATGCTCAAGGATGGTTCATCTCTGGCCTAGAGAGGCTGGTGAAGAGCCTGTTAGAGTGAACTGAATCCTAGACTCAAAAATTGTCTCTCCCTAATTCTTTGAATACGATTCATGTTCATTCATGAATTGAGAAGGGAAAGATCTAGATGAACAGTGGCGAGTGATCCAAGATATGGAAATTGCATGGAAAGTATGTGTGTCATGCCAAAAAGCAGAGAGAACAAACAAGTGGCTATTTGATGACACCATCAAAACAGCTGATCAGGAAAGGGTGGCCAAAGCCAAAGGTAATAAGGATCACGTTAAAAAGGCTGAATGCAATTTTTCAGCATGAAGCCAAGAAAGGCAAAAATAGGAAGTGAGAAAAGCAGAGTCAATATCTGGAAGAAGCTAATAGAAAGGGACATTCTGAGGTTATGTTTGCTGTAGTGAAAATGATGAGATCCAGCTTTGCAGCATGGC